CCAGCTCCCCAAGACCGGGGTGAACCTCGCCTATTTCACAGAGGAGCAAGCTCACACTCTGGAAAGAAGCTGCTCTCCAATCCCCCTGCTTAGTGCCCTGGGTTTTGGGGTCTGCCATGTAAGCCCCCACCAGTGCTGGCGATAAGGATGGAGAAGGCAAGGTCCTGGCTGAGAGCCTCCAGGCCTTCATCCTGCTCCCTGGGCCACCTCCTCCCCCCGTGTCCATGGCAACCGCAGGCGGTTACATAACTGAAGGGGGTTAGGGAGCAGCGCACCCCCATTGTCTAGGGCCTGGAGATGAGACCACCCCATCCAGCCCGCAAGTCTGGACGCCGCTGCGGTAATGCACGCTAAAGGCCCGGCCCACAGTGGCCGCGGACATACGGAGGGTCAGTCGGTGACCCCCACCCCGCGCGGGGCCCTAACCCCGGACTGCGGGAGCGGCGCAGACATGCCGCGCCAGCCCCCTCCCCGGAGCCCGGCCCCCGCCTCCCGGGTGCCCGCCATGCCTGTGGCGGGACTGAGGCCACTGGGGCTCCGTGGCTCCCCAGACGCCCAAACGCGGGCTTCGTAGACACTCCCCTCCGAAGGGGGCGACCCCGGGGCCTGAATCGCCCCTCCCGTGGCCGGGTCCCCTCTCACCTCATCGAGCGCCGGGGGACCCGGGCCGGGGCGGAGGGGTCCCAGGCTGAGAAGCCAGCGTCCGCTTGCGGGCAGCGTTTACATGGTGGCGCGGGTCGGGCCGGCGCGGGATGTGGGCGTCGCGGGCCCCGAGCGGTCAGCGCAGGGGTATCCCGCGGCCTCCCAACGCGGCGGCCCTTTAAGTCCCTCCCTGAGGGGTCGTATAACTTCGTATAATGTATGCTATACGAAGTTATTACGATTTATTCTTTTGTGCCTGGTTTCTTTTGCTCAATATTACATCTGTGACATTTATCCAGATTGTTGTTCGCCGACGGGCGGGCACTTGGGCCTATCGCAGCTGCGGGCTGACCTGGCCTAGTTAGGCTTCCAATCAGAGACGGTAATTCCGAGACGGGGCGGGCTTTGAGAGCAACGGCCCCGCCCCTTGGAGAGGCTTACCGAGGTTGGGGGAGGGATTGGGCCTGGCCCAGGACCGGGAACGGGGTGCAGCCTGGGGTCTGCGGGAGTCCTCGGAGGGGGCGGCCGGAGCCTTCTCGCTGCGAATAGGTTTCCCTGGCCACACTCTGCCTCCGTACTGCCCTGTCCCCTCCAAACGGAGTCCCATGCCCCTTTGTGTGGGTTGACCTTTCTGTTCTAGAAGCGGAGACTCTCACATCTTTCCAGTTGCAGGTGGGGAAACTGAGTCTCATAAAGGGTATAAGAGCACAAGCGGCAGGGGCCAAGCTGGGACTTGAACCCACGGTCGTGTGATTACAAGTCCTGGGAATTGTCATTAAACAGACGTCTTACAGCTGTGGGTAATTAGGGAATCGGAATTTCACAGATCAGCCAGTTTAACTGAGGGCTGCGGTGGAGATGAGGAGGGCAGGCGGCCAGAGGCAGACACCCCAGTTCTGTGGTCCCAGCTGAGCCAAGGCAGGACCTCAGGAAAGACTGAGTCAGAGAGGAATTGAGTTCAGGGTTTAATTCCAGGCTCTGCCCTTTGCTGATGGGTGACCTTGGTCAAGTCACTTCTCTGAGCCTCCATTTATTTTTCTATAAAATTAATACCCTCCTAAGTTTTCTATGCAGGTAAGGCACTCACCACGGTGCCTTGCATACAGTAAGTGCTCAACACATTATCGGCATTATTATTGTAGTGGTGGGGGTTTGTTAAATGCTGGTACAGGTAGGATGGGCTTCAGTGGACAAGGGGTTAACAGCTCCCTGCTGCTTGTCGGCTCCCGAATTCCCCTGGAATTTGCTGCCAGAGCTGCATTAGGTCCAGCCACCCACTCTTGCCCACTCACGGTGCTCCCAGGAGAACAAACTCAGTTTATTCATTCAGCAAACATTCTCCACTGCCCACTCTGGGCCCACTCCAAGCTGGTATATGCTGGTGCATTTGCAGGTACTCAGCCCCAGGCCTGGCCCTTGACGGGCCCCTGAGCTTCAGAGGAGAGTCGAGGTGGAGCTACATTGGGTCAGGGGTGGGCCAGAGGAAGGGACTTAAAGGCTGGGTAGGGGAACACCAGGCAGAGAGGTGGGTGTGGCTGAAATTCATGTTGCTTTTGTGCACAGGGTTTTGCACACCTGCTGCACAGCTGGATATTTTCCTTGGGGCAATAGGGAGCCAAGGAGGGTGTGTGAGCAGGGGAGAGGTTCTGATCTGAGTGTCAGAAACTTTCCTCCGGGCTGGGTGGTTAGCTCATTGGTTAGAGCATAGCCTTGTAACACCAAGGTCAAGGGTTTGGATCCCCGTACCAGCCCAGCCACCCGCCCCCCCCTCCCCCCAAAAAAGAAAGAAAAATTCTAGGGCAACCTTGCAACCCATGAATTTTACAGACTAAGGAGACGGAAGCCAGGAGAGGAGCAGGGACCACCCCAAGGACATCCACCTAGATCGAACTCAGGCCTTCTGGGCTCTCTGCCAAGGGGAGGAGACTTGGCTAAGCCAGAGAAAAGCTGCCGGCCAGCTGTGTGCCATCTGCCGGGCTCCAGCTGGGGGTGGGAAGACAGACCAACCAGCCGCTTCCGGAGGCTGCCACCAGCTGCGCCAGGGACACCCGGGGTTACCCTCTGCCGGTCGACGGGAGGAACTACAACGCCTGGCTGACTCCGAGACTTGGTATCTTGTGCGCACGCGCTTGGTGGCGCTGTTTGCCTGCCACCTGCTGGTGCCCAGGAAGAACTACACTCCCCCGCGTGCTCAGGCTTCGAGCTCATTTAGGGAACCCTGGCGACTCCGCTGTAGAAGGAACTACAATTCCCAGAAGCCTGCGGAGCCTGTGGGCTCCGGAATCGCTGGCGGCGGGGACTCGTGACCCGCGGCAGGACATGGCTTTCTTGGTCGGATGCCTGTGGAGCCCCGCCTGTAGGTCGGCGGCGCTGCTGGGTGGCAGGTGAGTCCTCGGGGGGACCCTTCACCAAGTCTGGGTTCATAAGGACGGTGTCGGGGGCTGGCGTCAGCTGTTTAGCACCCATGTGACCTGACAGTGCCTTTGCAAGCTCATCCCCGTACGGATCAGAGGGGTCGAGCTCCGCGCCGAGGTAACACAGCTCCCGCATGACCTTTCGCGCCCCGTCTCTCTGCCTTCCCGCAGGTGGCTCCAGCCCCGGGCCCGGCTGGGGCTCCCGGACACCTGGGGTCTCCCCGCCCCACAGCAGGCCCGTGGCAAGGCGCGCGGGAACGAGTATCAGCCCAGCAACATCAAGCGAAAGCGCAAGCACGGCTGGCTCCGGCGCCTGGGCACGCCGGCCGGCGTCCAGGTCGTCCTTCGTCGCATGCTCAAGGGTCGCAAGTCGCTGAGCCACTGAGGAGCGCGACGCTGCCGGCGGGACCCCCTTGAAAGCATTTCCCTCGCCTCGGACCTCGCTGGGATCTGTTTTTGCGGGGAGCTGCTCACACACCCTCTTTGGCTCCCTATTGCCCCAGGGAAAATACCCAGCTGTGCAGCAGGCATGCAAAACCCTGTGCACACAAGCAACCTGAATTTCAGCCACACCCTCTGTGCCTGGTGTTCCCCTGCCCACCCTCGGATCTGGGCCCTCCCCAAATTGTGGGGTTGGCCCAGGGGAGGTTTGGATGGGACTCGAAGGGGGAGTAGAAGTCAGACCTTACCAAGACCCTTTTTATGCTTTCGAATTAGGAAGAATTTCGGACATACGCAACAGTCCACAGAATAAATAGCACAGCCAGCCCCCGTGTACCCAGAACCAGCTCTGCCCACTGACTACCCATAACCCGTCCCGTCCCCTTCTGTGTTATTTTGAAGCAGATCTCAGACGTCGGGTTATTCCTTCTGTAAATAATTCAGGATGTACCTCTCCAAAATTAGGGTTCTTTAGAACATAATCACAAAATTTATCACACTGAAAAGAATTATCCATAATACTGAAATATCATTAAATGTCTAATATATGTTCAAATTTCCACTTGTCTTATATGTGTTATAACTTTTGCAGGTCTGGGGAGGCTGGTGGGAAGATGGGGGGTTTCGAATCCTCCACCTGCCCCTTAGGGATGGGCTGTGTGACCTTGGGCAAACCCTCTTGGGCTCATTTGGCTCCTATAAAATGAGGTGCTCGTTTCTCCTTTGCTCTGTTGTTGTTTGAGTGATAATACTTAGTAGCTTCAACTTAGCAATCTATTGAGTACTCACTACGTACTGGGTGCCCAGTCCTTGTCCTTAAGGGGCTTCAGGGCTGGGAGGAGGATTATGAGGGCTGTAGGAGCCCAAAAGAGGCTTTGAGAGGAATGCAGTCATGGAAGGCCTTCTGAAAGAAGTGGCAGGGTCTGGGAGGGCCCAGAGGGAGGAGGAATTGGGTAGGAGTCAGAACACAGAATGAGTGAGGGAGGACGGAGGGGCTCGGAGTTTGGGGCCGAGGAGGTAGGACTGGATCCTTGGGGCACTAGGGAGCCACGGAAGGTGTTTGAGGAAGAGTGAGTTGTCAGTTCAAAGAGAATTCAAGCGACTAGCGCGGAATTGGTCTAGATATGCCAAAACCCAAAGCTGGGACCTCAGGTAAGAGGCTAGAAGTGATACGGGATCCGTCTTCCGAAGCTGCTATGAACAGCTCATGAAAGACCATTCGAAAAAGCTCGGTAAACGCTGGGAAGAGAAGACTGGGGCGAGTGACTGGAGTTGTAAACTACAACTCCCAAGAGGCTCCGCGGGCGCGGCTTCCGCCCACTTCCGGGTCTCACTTCCCATCGTTTCCAAGTCACGGGAGGGGTTTCGTTCTCTCAATTAAACTTGACCACGAAGAGAGGAGGCGTGGCAACCAATGGGTGCATGATTTACCCGAGCCTGGCCAATGGGAGCGCGCAAAGGCTGTATAAATGGGGGCGGGGCTAAGACGCAGACCAATGACGGGGGGCGGTGGCACCATCGGTGTGAGCTGTGCCGTGGCTGGAAGTTACTGTGCGGCGGCGGCGGCTCAGAAGGCGGCTGTAGCGGCGGCGGCGGCGGCGTGGGAGGCTGAGGCGACGACGGAGGATACAGAAGATGGTGAGGGAGGCCGCCGGGCCCATCCTCCCCTTCCGCTCAACAAAATGGCGCCGGGGGCCCACCCACCTAGAGTGTCCCTCGACGCTCGCTCTGTTCGGCCCCGCAGACGGGGCCCCGCCCCTCCCGCAGCTTGTGACCTTCGACCCCAGACCCTGCCTTGAGCTTCCCGCTGACCCCGCCCCAGCTCCTTCCCCAACTCATGACCCCGTCTGGGTTCCCCGGCCCTGACAACTCATTCATTTCCGGGTCGCGGCTCTTCCCGGAAGTCGCCTGGGGTGGGGATGGGGTCCCCTGAGACTCCCGGCTCTGGCCTCGTCCTCCGTGCGCCCGGCCTGCGCCTCTCCAGTGCCGGAGGCCGCCGGGGCGCGGGGAGGGGGTTCGACGCCGCGATCTGCGGGACTTTGTCGCCAGAGGAAGTGCGACATCGCCGACTGCCCCGTCCCTCGGGGCCCTGAGCCCTCCCCCGGCGTTCTGGGCCCTCACTTGTCCTTAAGAGTGAGCGACTTCATCCTTCTGATCCGCCGGTCTGTCTCTGCTAAGTGACTGGCGATGTCCGGACCTCCTGGGGTTGTGACAGTTTTCGGCTGGGTGGCTCGGGGCCGGTGACATCCTGCCCTGGCTGTCCCTTCATCTTGAAGTGGAGACGACCTCCCAACAACGAGTTGGGGATTAAAATTCCGTCCGGGCCGCTCACCCCTCCTGGGATTTGGGTCTGGCAGCTCCTGGGGACCCCATTTCTCACCTGGAACGTGGGACGGTGACCCTCAGAGTGGGGCTGAACTCCTCGTGCCCCGCTGTTTGGCATCCTCACAGGTGGCGGGGGTGCTGGGAGGACTGGTCGGGATAAGGCCCCATTGTTCGCCATTCGGAGTCCCAGCCCACAGCCCTCTATCCTTGGGATGCAGTGAGGAGGGGGCGAGGGACATCTCCCTGTCGGAGAGGCGATGGGTCCCAGTGTGTGGGTCTCCAGACCTGGGTGCTGTCCTTTGTTTGTAGCCTCACCCCACACGCAGTCGTAAGAGGGTTCTGTTGGTTCTGCCTCCAGAATGCATCCCAAGTTCATCCACAGCTCCCCACCTGGGTCCAGGCACTGCCACTTCCTGCCTCGACTCCCCCCACTGCCGATTCCCCCCTCACCCTCCCTCACTCCCTCATTCACTCGGCACCAGAAGGAGGTTTGGAAGATGTAAATCAGATTGCACTGCCTCCTAGCGTACAAAACACGCCAGGGGCTTCCTGTTGTAACCCCAATGAAACCCCAGCTCACCCTCAGTCCCCAAGGTCCCTGCCTGCCTCTGTAACCTCGCTCCACTCTCCTCAGCTCTCCCCCTCTCCCTGCGCGCTCCAGCTACACTGGCTTGTTCTTGCTTCTGCACACTCCGCGTTCCCGCCACCCCAGGGCCTTTGCTCCTGCTCTTACTTCCACCTAGAGTGCTCTTCCTCCCGTGAGCACCCCTCATCCTCATCTCACTTTGTTGGGTCACTGGTGAGCTCCCCTCATGGGGACCGGCACACAGGCGTTCAGCGAGCGTTTGCTGAGGCGGTGGATGGCGTCAGGGCCCAGGTGTGGCTGGGATTTGTCTGGCTGAGGTGAGGATTTCTCCACGGCGTCTGGAGGCCTTGTTTTCCAGCTTAGCTCCTAGGAAGTAGCACCCACACCCCGTGTTCATTCATTTATTCAGGACAAACACATTGATGCCCTCTAGGGAGCGCTGTGCCCATCTCTTTCTCTGTGTTGTCATGTTGACACTGAACACCGGGCAGTGGTCCCGCCGTAATACCCTGTTTCACAGGGGAGGTGGCCGAGGCTGGGAGGTCACTCGCCCCAGGTCACACAGCCAGGGAAGGACTAAGCCAGGATTGAGCTCAGGAAGTCTGGGGCTCTGCATTGCTCACTGATCGGCCGCCAGGCCAGGCTCCATTTGAGCCCTGCCCTGCCTTCTGCCCTCAGGGAGATGCCAGTCCAGCAAGGAGGGTGGGTATGTAGACAGATGATATCCCCGAAGGGGTGGGGAAGGGGGTTCGGGCTGGTGGGGAGGTTGGTGGGTGACTCCCACATGGAGAAAGGCTGGGCATGCCTGGGGGGTGGAAGAGAGTGTGTGTGACAGGAGACCAGCAGGGCCAAGCCGGGCCAGGGCTATGGAAGGGTTTGAGCAGAGTGGGGACAGGGACCCCTCCTCACCTTTCAGGTCACACCACCTTCATTACTGCCTCTGGGAAGCCCTCCCTGACCCCCTGGACTGGCCACATCTCTGCTGGGCCTCACACGGTGTTCTTGGGGCACCCTGTCCTCGAAGCTACTTCCCATTCACTGAGCACCTCTTTGAGCCACACCTGTGCCCCCCACACACTGGGCGCTCCCCAAGGCTAGTAGCAGGTCTGTTGTGGCTCACTCCAGTGCCCGGGGCCTGCCACGTGGCAGGGGCTGGAGGGATCTTTCTGAATGGGTGAAGCCGGCCCCGTAGTCCAAGGCCAGGCTGGGGCTGGAGTCCTGGGATGGGACAGGCAGGTTTGAGAGACTAAGCTGGCCCTATGGCAGTAGGTCACCCAAATTAAGGCCTGCCCAGCCACATTCCAGCTTCCTGGGCTAGCCTGTTGACCGCTGGGGCCCAGCAGAGGAGCGGCTGACCTCACAGAGCAGGGCACTACTGCTTTCGCCTGCCCCAGAGGGTGGTGGGAAATCATCTGAACAAGGCACCTCTCCTGGACCTCAGTGTGTGGTTGGACCACCTGAGGGTACCAGCCCTCCTTCCAGTGCAGTGGCCTGCAAGGACCGTGACACCTTGGTTTTTAGGGATGTCACCTCTGAGGTTGGGCAAACCGGGGTTCAAATTGGCTTTCTCATTTTCTTCATGTGACTGGGTGACCTCAGATGAGTCACCTGTGACCTCTCTGCCTCCATCTCCTTGTCTTTGTGATAGGGAGATACTGCCTCCTGCCTGGTTGGGTCCCGAGGCCGTACATAGTGAGGTCAGGCTCCTGAAGCCCCTGGCCTACAGTGGGACATGTGGGGAACCCCACACTGGACCCACCCCTTGCTGGCTGTCCCACACCAGGCCTGACCAGCAGTGTCAGTTGAAAAAGGACTTTCGAAAAGCCAATGGATACTGTTGCTGGCTCTCTGGAGCCACGTGGGCCTGAAAACTCTGGTGGCCACGGACAAGACGTCCTCCCCTTACAGGACAGGCTTGGGCCTTCTGGCCGACTTCTGGGAGCATGGACCCCAGAAGCAGCACCCGAGCTGACCAGTCACAGATCTGTATGCACAGTATCTTCTAAAAAGCCGAGCCAGCTTTAGAAACCTGGAGATTCAAACTTAGATTTCTGGATTTTCTTGGATGTCGGAAGCTCAGTGAATCCTGGGCTCCTGGTTCTGGGTAGCTAAGGCCAGGTGGACCAGGCCTCTGCTCCCCCACCCTGCTTATTGTCATTCTGGCCGGTGTGGTTTCTCAGGATAGATGAGTCTGTCTCTGTCCCTGGTCTTGGTCAAAGGTGGTTTCAATGGAAATGAGGCCAAGAATATAATATTTTTCCAAGCACAGCTGTGCACAGTGGGGCAGCAACTGCCCCTCACTGTGGGTATCAGGAGGACCAGGGTCCGACTCTGTCCTGCTGCTCACTTGCTGCAGTGTGACTTGTAACAAGTAGCCCTTTCTCTTGGAGCCTCAGTTTCCCCACCACTCATGTGGTTATGGGGCTGTCCTGAGGAACCCCTGGAGAATGTGCATTTGCCCTAGGATTGGTTACTTTTTTCTGGTCATGACTGTGCACGTAGTAGGTAGGCAGCTCGAGGGTGCGTTCTGGAAAAGTCGGACAACAAAAGTAGAAAGAAGGAAATCACCCAGAAGCACACCTCCCACGGGTACTGGAGGGATGACCTGGTGCATTGTCTGGTTTCTCACATACTGTTGTCCGTGTCTTCTAGGCAGATTTTTTGAAAGGATTGCCTGTCTACAACAAAAGCAATTTTAGTCGATTTCATGCTGACTCTGTGTGCAAAGCCTCGGTGAGTGTGTGTTCAGGTGGGGCAGGGCGGTGCTGGGAGTGATCAGGGAGCTGTGGGGGGTACCAGGGTGTGGCTTGTGTCCCCCAATCAGGGTCTTGGCAGATACAGAGGCTGATCTTCCAGCCCAGCCCCACCGCATATCCTCTCATGTCTTCTGATCTGTATTGAAGGGCGGGAGCTGAGTTAAGGGGTGAAGGGACCCTAGGCCCGCCTGCTCTCCTAACCCACCCCTTCCCGACCCTCCCGCAGAACCGACGTCCCTCAGTCTACCTGCCCACACGGGAGTACCCGTCTGAACAGAGTAAGTGGCCTCTGTTAGTCTGTCCCATGCTGGCTGCAGAGTGGTGGGGTCCAGAGGCCACCATGTGGTGTGCAGAGACTATTTCCAGCCCTGCCCAGGCCATACTCTGCTTGGGTTCACACTCTGGCTGCCGAGTCCAGGGTTGGGTGGGGAAGGGTCTTGAGGGAGGTACAGGGGGTGATCTTGAGGGCTCTGGGCTGAGATGCACTTGTGGATGTCTGTCTGCTCCTTGCCTTGGGAGCACTGGGAAGCCTGGCCTTCTCTGGGCCCCTCTTGATTTCCACACGTGGCTACCACATCCTGCTCCCAGGAGCCTGAGTTGACCTGAGTCAGCACTTGCTTGCTGCTCAATGGCCCTGCCCTCTCCCCTGGGGTGAGTTCAGCTGAGAACTCAGACCCCAAGACAAGTACTGTTGGGCAGAGAGGCAGCAGAGGGCAGTGGGAGCTCTGGGGGCTCTGGGATGGGGAAGGGGATCCAGGAGGAGGGACACGCAGAGCCAGAGGACATAGTCATGGTGTTTTAACTGTTAAAAAAAAAAAGAATCCATCCATGCAGACATTCTGGGTGGGTTTTGTGGCCACTGGGTGTAGCTGTGTAGATCTGCGCTTCCAGTCCATCGGGAAATGCATACGTGTAAGCCCAGGTGCGGGGCTTGTCTACTGCCCAAGGATGGAATCCTGCATGCAGGAAGCAGGGACATGATGGAGCAGCTGGCTCGGGCAAAGGCGAAACACTGGGCTTTCAGAAATCTCCTCCCAAGTTGGCAGTGCTGACTTCGAGTCCCAGAAAGACCACTGAGGGCCAGGATAGGCCAGGAGGGTGGGGGGTGAGCAGTGCCTGTCCAGGAGGCCAGGCCATCTGCAGCCGGCTTCCTTGCTGCCTCTTCTGTGACTTTCTGTCTTTCCTTCTCAGTCATCGTGACAGAAAAGACAAACATCCTCCTACGCTATCTACATCAGCAATGGGACAAAAAGGTAAAGGATTGGGGGTGGGGAGAGGCATGGTGCCTGACGGGGCTGTAAACAGGGGAAGGACGTGGGCGGCTCGGAGATGATGGGGTGTTTGAATGGGGCATTGAGGGTTGAGTAAGAGTTCGCCGGGTGATCAGGGGAGGGAAGAGCATTCCAGTGGATGGAATAGCTGTGCAGAGGCCACAGGGCTCTGGGGCTCAGGAGACTGAGACCCAGCTTCTCACCACCCTGACATTAGGTAGACTTTGTTGTTATGATTTAGAATCCTTTTTATTTATTTATTTATTTTATTTATTTATTTTTATTTTTGTCTTTTTCGTGAACGGTAAGGGGATCGCAACCCTTGGTATGGTGTCACCCACACCGCGCTCAGCCAGCAAGTGCACCGGCCAGTCCTATATAGGATCCGAACCCGCGGCGGGAGTGTCGCTGTGCTCCCAGCGCTGCACTCACCCGAGTGCGCCACGGGCTCGGCCCCCTAGAATCCTTTTTAAATGGTGAAATGTACACATGGTTTAAAATCTGGTCAGTGTGAGAGCATGAAACTGGTGAAGAGTCAGCTCCCCCGACCCCTTTCCAGAGGCCTGCATCCTGACACATGGGGCTTTCTTTTTTTTTTAAATCTTCACATGGTTCTGCGATGTGGTCAGTATGTTTTTTCACCTGACACTGATCATCAGACAGTAACCTGCTCTGGGTGGAGCTGGAAGGGGACCCCATGACAAAGTAAATGCTCAAAAAATTCCGGCTCCTCCACACCCCCCCGTTCCCCAGCCCAGCCCCACAGACCTTGATTCCCACTAGCTGGGAAAGGAGATTTTCCCAAACCTTTGCCCTCTGGCTAGGTGGGTCACTCCTCTTGAGTATTTGAGAAATGGCCCATGTGTGGGTCATTGTGAGCGATGGGTGGTGACTCCTGGAGGTGCCCAGAAACGCCTGCCCATCACTGGCCATGGGTCCCAGGGGACACTCTGAGCAGGGCTCACTAGGGCAGGTCCTGGTGGTGGGAGGGGCTGCCCAGCCAGGCACCCTGAGTCACACTGCCCTGTTCCAGGCCCAGCTCTGTGCCACCGCAGTGGCCTGGGCTGGTGTTAGGACTTGAAGCTCACCCAAGGGAAGACTCAGCCTGTCCATCCCCTCGTCCCCCAGAATGCCGCCAAGAAGAGAGACCAGGAGCAAGTGGAGCTGGAAGGCGAGGGCTCGGCACCCCCCCGCAAGGTGGCACGGACCGACAGCCCAGACATGCACGAGGACACTTAAGACTCACGCTCCCCCACAGGCGCCTCCTGTCTTGTCTGCTCCTCGATCGCCTGCCCGCCGTGTGTAAGCGCCCCTGCCCACCTGCCCTCACCCTGCCGTCCGCACCACTCCCAACCTCATAGGAGCTGATGTATTTATTTTCCTGGAGTTTTTATTTATGCTGTAACATGTATCGAGTGTTGGTTAAAGGGGACATCAGGCCCAGTAGTGTGATGTTGGTAGATGCTTTTTAAAATAGCATTGGCCCTCCTCCTCCCCTGTCCAGTTTCCCCCTTGTGCCCCCCCAGTTCTCCTCCAGAGGACCAGAGTGTATCTGTGAGGGTCTGAGCCGGGGGCTCTGCTGCAGCCAGGCAGTGGGGGTGGGGCTGGGCCCAGGGTGGCCTGGCTCACCTGCCTGCCTGGAAGGCTGAGCAGCTACCCACTCCCACCCATCTGCCCAAGTGTTTGAGACTCAGCCTTGTCTTGAGTTCCACTGGGAACTATTCCATGCCCAGACTTCACTCAGAGCGCACGCGGGGATGCGGCCTTCCGGATCTTTCTCTTAAGTCATTTCATCGTGAACTAGTGCGTGCTCCATGTCCACCCCAATAAAAGGTCTTTCCTACTCGACCTCGTGTCTTCGCTCCGCATGCCTCGGCCCCAGAGGATGGAGCCCTGAGAGTCATCCCGTCGTCACCAAGAGGAGTGAGAAGGGGCCCCACATGCTGGGGCCCCAGGGACCAGCTGGATTCTCTCACGGGCCTGCTGTGGCCACCACACTGAAGGCCAAGACCTGCCTGGACCAGCCCCTCTGCCTCACCTGTCAAGGTGTCCCTGAAGACCATGTCATCTTGGAGAGACGGTCTGTGGCACTGAGGATGGAGCTGGAGTTGGCCCCGTGCCCGGAATATTCACCCCCCAGCCACTGTGGAGCTGGCCTGGTCTCACCTGGAGGTCTGTCTCAGGGCCTCCAGAGGTTGCATTTGGCAGATGTAGCCAGCCCAGGTGGTCTGGCCTCAAGTGTCCCTGGGTCAGAGGAAGTGTACTGAGTGCTGGCGCCTGTTGGGTGGCTCATCCCTTGGCCGCTCACAGGGGCTCCTCCTCTGTCAGCTGGGCTGGGTTGGGGCTGAGCTCCAGGACATAGGGGCTTACGGGTGCTGGGCAGAAGGCTCGTGGGGCAAGGAGAGCACTGCTTCTCCCCGCCATCCGTCCTGAATGGGGGCCGCAGTTTTGAGAGCTGAGTATTACAGGCATTGGGGCTGGTAAGGGATTGGGCCAAAGAGCTAGAGGAGACAACAGGCTGGGGAGGGGTTGCCCACCCCAGATGATCACTGTGGAGGGCCCTGCTTGAGCCAGACCTTGCCAGCCTGGGCTGCCCAGCTCTCCTGGGGGTGGACAGTTCCAGGCCAGCTCCTGTTGTGCACAGGTGCGGCTGAGCCAGCCCCAGCCCAGTGTGGCCACCCAGCTGTGCCCTGGGGCCAAGGGACTGTGCCTCCTATCTCCTGATGGCATGCACACCATGGGCACAATATTGTAGGGTCCCTGCAGTCTCAGGGCAGGTGCCCAGGAAAGGCCAGCTTGACCGTGGTCATGCTGGGGCAGGCTGAGCTCCCTGGAGGCTCAGAGACTAGGTGGAAACCCCCAGCTCTAGGGCTTAGTCTGACCCTGGTAGGCTCATGTCATCTGTTTGTTAGTGACTGAGGTGGTGGGATTTCTGCTTCAAAGGCCAGAGAGCAGAGGGGGAGCAGGTGGCACCCTGCCCTTCCCTTCGCTTTGCCCGGGCCTCTCTGGCCCTGGTTTCCCCCTTTGAGGGGCTGGGTCCTGTCTCCTGCTGCTGCTGTCTACCCGTGGCTCAGCCATGACCGCCAGGCAGGTGCTTCTTCTGTCTTCTGCCTCGGCCCTCTGGGCGGGGGAGGTCCTAGGACCCCTTGTGGTCTTCCCCAGAACTCATGGGCCTGTTGTGTCCTGTCTCTGCGCACATACTCTCCATGGCTCCCACTGCCCTTGTGGGGGAGCCCAGGCCCCCGAGCCAGCCTCGCCTTTGGGGTCTCTCTGACTCCGCTTTCCCCTCACCGCAGACTCTGCCTTCCCACACCTCTCTGCCTTTGCACTCCTCCACGGCCCCAGCGCTCCTTCTCACGTGCTCTCTCAGCCTGTCCCTCTGGCCCAGCCCTGGGGTGAGGCCACGTCGGGCTCTGAGCCCATAGCCATTAGATGTGGACAGTCTGGTCACATTCCCATCCCCGAATCACAGTGAAGAGTCCCAGTGGCTTGGGTCTGACATCTGTACCACAGTGGGACATCCTGGCTGCTCCCTGAAGCCATCCCAAAAACACCATCCTCTCAATATCTTGACTTTGGGACTGCAAGGCGGGGGGCGTTGCTCAGGCACCAGGTGCCTTCCCATTTTCATGTCCCAGGTTCTTTCCGCTGTCTCTGCCTCCCCAGATGGCATGCTGGGAGGCGGGTGCACCAGAAGGTCAGAAGATGCCACCTTTCCCACCCCCACCCTACCCCCTGGGCACAGCTTGGAGGACTGTGTCATCCCCCATTCCCCCTTCAAGGCTGACATCTATTCAGGACCCAAGCCCAGTGCCCAAATTATTGGATCCTCTCAGCACTTTGAGATTTCCTCCTTCATCTCGGTGGCTGAAGCCGGGGACTGAGGCCCTGTGGCTCCTCCCAAGGCCTCTGGGCCAAAGTCGGCCCCCAGATCTGGGCCAGCTCAGAGGCAGTGCAGCCTGGAGTTTTCCATCTGTGGCCCTGAGACCCAGTTTTTGGGACCCAAGGGTCAAACCAGCTTGTGCCAGGAGTAGCAGGAGCGCCCACCCTGGACCCCAAGTCCCTGGGTCCCGCCAAGCCCCTTTCCACTGCTCTGACCTTGGGCACTGTTGAAATATACTTTTTATTGCATTTCTGCCGTTTTACAAAAATATGACAAAATAAATTAAAAACAAATAAATAATCGCCTCTTCTGTGTGTTGTCTGTTGGTTTTTCAGGTTTCCTTTGTGCCCCCCGTCTTGGTCAAAAGGAAAACGGCAGATGGGGGGCCCGCCCTAGAAGGGGTGGCCAACTCTGGGGGCCATGGGGGGCTGAGGCGTGCGTCCTGGCTGACCACCCCCATAAGGACTGATATTGCATATGAGAGAACAGAGGCGGGGCAGGCGGCACTAATGCCGGCCACTGGGCCAGCACACGGCCTGCGGGCTGGGGCTGGGTGGAGGCACCGGGGACTCGGCAGGCTCTGAGGTGGGCAGCAGCGGTGGGGGTGGGAGGCTGTAGAAGCTGGTATCCCCTGGCAGGGGCTGAGGGGCAGGCGGGGGCCCGGCGAGGACACAAGGAGGGCACTCAGCAGCGAGTGGGGTCTGGCGGGGGGCGATGCTCTCGCCCCCGCAGCCCCATGGCCCGTCCCACTGCCAGCAGCCGGCGGGTGGCGTCGGGGGCCGGGGCAGTGGCCTTGGCGGTGGTGGTGCGGGGCTCCGGCTGCTGCGATTGCGGAGGGCAGGGGTGCCCACGGGGGCCAGCGCTGTCCCTGCGGAGGTGAGAGGGGCCGTTCTGGGGGGATGCCGCCCCTGCCCGCCTACCTCCCGGGCTTCCAGGCACATGGAAGGCCTTATTGCTTCTGATCAGAGACCAGGGTGGGTGTCTCCCCTGGCTGTCTTTGGGTTCATCCCCTGCCTCTGGGCACCAGCCCCTCCCAGTCATGGGGTATAGGACAGTCTGAGGAAGACCCTCTGGCTTTTGACCTATGTACCTTGTGCTGCAGCTGCTACCTTCTGGGCTCCCTGGGGATTGGGCTGCTGGACCCAGGGCTGGGGTTGGGGCAGGCAAGGTGGCAGGGGCCACGGGGTGAGGCTGTGCCTCTGCTCAGCACATAATGTGGGTGCAGCCTGTGGCCGAGCATCCCAAGCTCCCCGGTGGGCAGCCCTAGCCCGCACCTCCAAGGAAGTCCTTCCAGGACAGCTGGGCTGCAGGGTGGAGATTTGCATAGAGGCCTGGGGGGGTCCAGTTCCCCCAGAGTGAGCTGGGTGTGGGCAGGAGAGGGTGGGCCAGTTGTGAAAGTGCCTCCCTCACCTCTCTTGGCAACAGAGCATGGTAGGAGGCACCCTGGGAGGGGCACTGTGATAGGGGGCTTTGGCGTCCCTCCCTGGGGTGAGGAGAGTCAGGCACAGGGCTCCAGGCCCTTGAGGGTTCTGGAGAGACTCAGTAGGCTTTGACTGAGAGGCTCTATGTCCCATGGACCTAGGTCCCCAACTGGTACCAGAGACTGGGCCTCCTCTGTCCCCTTCAGCCCCTCTACCCAGGCCTGGCCACCCCACCCCTGCCCCAAAGCCAGGCCGGGCGTCCCCACCCCCGAGTTAAAGCTTATGACCTGAGCCTTCCTCTTCGGGCCGGGGGGCTTCCAGCTCCTCAGCTGAGGCTTCGTCCGCTGGCCCACTCCTCTGGGGTCGGCTGCTGCCACCGCCAGGGGTCCCGTCTGCTCGGGCCTGCCCTCCTGCCCCGTTGGACCCGGCATCAGCTCGGGCCCCACCGAAGGGGAAGAGCTTGCCAGCATGGAAGGCCTTGGGCGGCGAGTGGCTGCGTTCGGGGTCCCGCCTGGTCTCAGGTGACTTGAGGAACTTGAAACTGAGGAAGGCTGGCAGGCGGGTGTCACTGCCTGTGGGCGACTGGGCGGGGGGTGGCCGGGTGGAGGGGCCGGTCCCCATGGCAGCCGGTGAGGACGCAGTGCCCGACGACAAGAACTTGCTCTGCAGTGGGATGATCTGCTTCAGCTTCATGACGTTGTTGGGCGCCAGCAGGGAGCCTGGGCGCTTGGGCCGCTCGGTCCCGTGGCTGCCCGTCCCACTGCCCTTGGCCTTGGCAGAGGCCTTCTCGGAGGCAGCGGGGTCCTGCCCGGAGCTCTCGGCCCGAGCCTCCTCCCGGCTGCTGGCGTCGCGCTCCTTCCGGGCGTGGTGCTCTGCGTGGCGCTGGCGTTCCTCCTCCTCCCGCCGCCGCCGCTGCTGCTGCTGGTAGTGGTGCTGGGCCTGGCGCTCGTGTCTCTGCGGGCAGAGCCGAGCCGTTACGGGACTGGGAAGAGGGGGTGCATGAGTGGGCGCCGGCTGAGGTGGGCCCACGCCAGGGCTCTCTGCGGAAGTGGGGAGAGATCCAAACACTTATTGGGCACCAGATCCCCGGACCCACACTGGGGCTCTCTGGGGACTGAGATAAAAGCAAACGTTCACTGGCCACCAACTCTGTCCCCGGCATGTATCAATGCCTTAGGAATTGGGAGAATGTAAATAAATACTAGGCCTCAACTGGTGCCCAGATTTGCAGAGAATCAGAAAGAGATGGAGCCATGACTAGAGCTGACTAGAGTCCACACTATCCACTCCCGCAGCCAGTAGCCACACATGGCTTTTTTTTTTTTGTCCTTTTTGAGACCTGCCACACTGCACTCAGCCAGTGAGCGCTGTGAGCGCACCGGTCATCCCTATATAGGATCCGAACCCGCGGCGGGAGAGCTACTGCGCTCCCAGCGCCGTACTCTCCCGAGTGCGCCATGGGCTCGGCCCACACGTGGCTTTGCCAGTGTAAATTTACCTTAATTAAAACCCAAGGACTGGCTGGTTAGCTCAGTTGATCAGAGCGTGGTGCTGACAACACCAAGGTCTAGGGTGCTATCCCTGTACTGGCCAGTTTCCCCCCTCCAAAAAAAAAAAAAAATCCAATAAAATAAAAATTAAGTTTCTCAGTCAAACCAGCCCTATTTCAAAGTGCTCATTCACCACCTGCAGCTAGGGATTACATGGACAGTGTAGATACAGAACATTTCCATCATCCAGGAAAGTTCCACTGGAAGGCACCAGGAGCTCCTTGGCCCAGCCTGCAGCTTTCCGAGCAACATGGAAAAGCCTGGGCTTCTAGGAAGCATCTGCCACGTCCTTGGCCCTGAAGGGGAGGCTGTCAGGGCAGCTGGCTGATGCCTCCATGTTCTCGAGTGCCAGCCAGGTGCTGATGCCACCAGTACTCCAGAAGGAACCAGCCCATTGTGAGCAGTGATTATTATTTTTTTTGGCAGCTGGCCGGTTTGGGGATCTGAACCTTTGACCTTGGTGTTATAACACTGATTATTATACCAGGCTCTGTGCCATCTGTGTTTGCCCTAATGCTAAGAAACTGGTGGTGTATATCTGAGGTCTGCTACCAGTGAAGCCCTGCTGAGTGGGTAAACTGAGCTCAGCCCTGGCCCATGTACCTTGAAGGCCTCCCGGCGCTGGTACTCCAGCTTGGCCATCTCCTCGGCCACCCAGCCCGGGATGTCAGGGATGGCCACGTGGATGAGGTACTTGAGAAGCAGAGCGAAGTGCTGGGGGGAAGGAGAGGATGCTGCAGGCTCTGGGGATGCCCTCCCTCCACCCAGCTCCCCCTGCCCAGCCACCAGCCCCACCTCAAGCACCACCACGGACACGATGGCTGCCTCTGGGCTCAGCCAAGGGAAGAGGCGCTGTAGCTGCCCACACTGGCCAATTAGGTAGCAGTTGACCACGATTGCCAGGACGCCCATGGCTTCCATCACCTTCTGCAGGGTGGCAGGGGGCCTGAGGCAGGGTCTTGCCGGCCTCCCCAGGCCCCTAGCCCCTCCCGCTGGACCCCAGCTCTCTCTGGGCCTTGGCTCAGAGCCCATGGCCTCCCCCCACCTGCCACTGGCCAATGCTCTCGACGCGCTGGCCGAAGGGACGCTGCAGCCCCGTGCACAGCTTGAAGGCATCGCTGCGGATCTCGATGAGGTTGTTAACCAGGGCACACAGTGCAGCCAAGGGAAAGGCAGATGAGAACAGCACAACGTAGCCGAACTGCACGAACATCTCCTGGTAGTCCTGGAACGTGTCCTGCGGGCGGGCAGGTGGCCACCTGGGTGTCAGACCAGGATGCTCCTGCCCTCCGTCCACCTTCCTCTATCAAGCTGTCTCCCGCAGATTATCCTGCATGGACCCAGGGCCTCTCTAGAGGCCTCCTCCATCCAGCTGGGCCTCCGCCTCCTGCAGGTTCCTGAGCACAGCAAGGGCCCCGCTAGCCCCCCAACCGCTTCCACCCTCGGACTCTGCACCCTGCCCCCACTGAGAGTCCTGCCTTCGCCCCTCGTCACCTCGTACTTCTTCATACAGCTCTCCACCTCCGCCTGGGTGAGCTGGGGCGAGTGTGCCTCTTCCGGAGGGTCAATCCAAGATGACCGGTTTTGCCGCCTCTGCCTCTGGGCTGAGTTGCTGGAGCTGGGCTCTGGGTCCGGGCCCCCATCAGGCCCCTGGTCTCGGCCCTCGCCCCCAGCCCGGCGGAGCAGGATGGCTGGGGGCTCCTGCTCAGGGCTGCCGGGAGCCCCCTCTGCCTCATCGTCTTCCTCGGCCAGGGTGAACATGCCTGGTTCCAGCCCTTTCTCCACCATGGTGGGGCTCCCCTCCTCCAAGAGGGCCTCTGGGCTTGGGCCGGGCAGATGCCGCCTGGCCCCCCGCTCGGCGAAGCTGACCTTCTTTAGCCGGAGCCCGCAGTCCAGGAGGCTGCCTTCCTCACCCTCTTCCTCATCCTCCTCCTCCTCCTCCTCCTCCTCCTCGTCCTCGCCCCCCCGAGGCCCGTCCCCCACCTCCCCGCCTTCCCCTGCAGGCCGCCGCTCCACCGTCACCTCCTCCTCCTCCTCAGGTGCCCCGCAGCCCCCGCTAAGACACCTGCGGCCCCCCCCACTGCCACTGCCAACACCCTCATCAGCCTGGGGTTCAAGTCGTTGGGGCGCAGGGCGCTGGAGGCTCAGCAGGCCAAGCAGGGCACGAGCCAGCTCCCCGAAGGCCCGCAGGCTGAGCTCGCCACGGCCCAGCCCCCGGTACAGATGCGGCTGCAGGACCTCACGCATGTTCTGCAGGAACTGGCGGGTAATCAGCAATGTGGCCAGCATCTGGAGACAGGGAGGGGGTGGAAAGAGGCAGGGAGGGGGTGGAGAGAGACCCCGTGGGAGCAGGCAGGGCCCTGGGCACTGGGACAGGCTGCCGGAACAGGGAGCCTGGAGCATGTGCCCAGACATACACGCTGAACCTGATTCCTAATCCCGCCCCTTTGGATGTGCCTGGACACACTGGCCCCAGCACTCAGCCACCGTTCACCTACCACACAAACCACAGCCCAGCACACCATAGTGCTCCTAGCTGATCTTCCAGGCAGGCATGGCACATCTCCACCCTACCACAGGCTCAGCCAGTGCCCGGGGTCACGTGAACCCTACACTGCCTGGGTTTGGCCAGGAGAGTCCCAATCCCCTCTGAACATGGCCCCTCAGCTCGGCATGCCTGGTCCCCTGCACAACCATGCTGCCCACCCTGGCAAGGCCCCACGGGCTTGCCACCTGCCCATACTTTGGCCCAGGCCACGAGCAGGAGGCCCTGGAGGGAGAGGAGGAGCAGGCGGAAACGCAGGGCCGCGAGCGGGACCAGTACTGCCCGAAGCTGCCGCTCAAGGCTCTGGGACAGGGACAGGACGAGCAGGAGCTGTGGAGGGACCGATGGACAGGTGGACAGACAGATGGAGGGGACAGACAGAGGATGCACAGACGGACAGACAGAGAGGAGAGAAGGATGGAGGAGGGGGGGGAGGGGCTGGAGAGCCCATGGACCCCTTGAGCCAGATCAGACCCCCGCTGACCATGATGGGGGCAGAGGACACTATCACTCGGGTGGAAATCTCACCTCTTTCAGGCGATCCATGTCTTTGAGGTAGAAGCCAATGTAGAAGAGACTCAGGTATGAGTTGACGAACTGGAACTGCAGGAGGCAGGCAAGTGGGCTGTCAACCTGCGGCCCCCATTCTGTTCCTGGGTGCCCTTGCTGTCCCCCCCCACAGGCCCCGCCTGCTGTCAGCCACTCACCAGGACGACCTTGATGATGAGATGTTTCTCATAGGCACTCTCCAGCCGGTAATTCTCTAGGGGCCGAGGGACTGAGTGAGGGAGCAGCCCTGGCCCACCGAGGGCAGCAGAGACCCCTTGGGGCAGTGGGGACCTTTCTCCCTAGGGCAGGCAGCGGGACTTCCCTTGGCAGGGCGTACCCATGTCGTTGAGCCAGATGGCGAGCTTCTTGTAGCCCTCGGCACTCACGCTGACCAGCAGGGCCAGCACTACCTTGGGCAGGAAGCGGGCAAGACGGGGCAGCCCCTTCACGCTCAGCACCAGCTCCTGTGGGGGCAGGGAGTTCATGGCTCACCCTCATGACAGGCTTGGCTTGAGGTGGAGCTGGGCAGGTGGTTGCCGGTCGGGCCAAGGCCGGGGGATGGGGTCACCTGCAGCTGGAAGCAGCCAAGCATGAGCAGGAAGACACAGACGAGGCACGTCAGGCACAGGGGGAGGCTCACGAGCAGCTGGAAGAGCAGCCGCTTCCAGGGCGGGTAGTAGAACTCCTCAGCCTGTGTCACGGGGCTGATGCGTCGCACCCCCTGGCAGGGCAGGGGCCAGGCCCAGCATGAGACCCAAGGAGCCACCTCTGCTTCCCATGCCCTTCCTGAGCCTCAGATCTCAGTTTCCCTCTGCTGCACCTTTGCTCTATTGGTGCCCCCCCCTAGTGCACGCTTCCCAGTCCCTTAGCTCAGCACACCCTCTTCGATGTAGCAGCCCTATTTCACATCTCCTGCCTTTGCTCCTACAGTGCCCCCCACCCAGTGTGCTCTCTCTCCTTTAACCTCATTCTCTTCGTCCCTGGACTCAGCCCCCAACTGACCCTGAATTGGGGGCGTGGCTCCTCCATGGCTTCCCCGGGTGTGTCTAGTGTCCCCCACTTGTAGGCCAGCTCTGCCCCCCTCCGTTTCCACTCCTCTAAGAACAGCGTTGACCAGATCACATTGAAGAGAGCAAAGACCACACAGGACACATCCCGGCTTGTCTGTGGGTGGTAGAGGACAGTTGAGCCATTGTCTGGGCTAGCCCAGGGAGAAGGGCACCTTGGGGACCCCAGCTCCTTCCCAGCCCCCACTCATTACCTGATCGGCTTCTGTGAATGTGTACAGGACAGAGCCAAAGACAGCCGGGTATACCATCGCTGACGTGTAGAAGCCCAGCCAGGCGAAGTACATGGCAATCTTCACACCAAAGTAGTCGCAGATGTCATCTGCTAGGGGACAGGGGGTCTTAGTCATGTCCTGCCTGCTTCATGGGACCCCCCCTCACCTGTCCCCCAACACAGGCCGCACCTAGAGGCTGGTTTTCACACACAGCTTGCACCCATGACTTCATGAGGCGGTTTAGGATGCGCTGCTCATGGACTGGGAACACCTGCTGGATGATCCCACGGGCCGCCAGCTCAGGGACTGTGGGGGGACGAGCACAGGTGACCCCTGCCCCTCCACAGTGCACGCAAACTGGCCAGGCCCCGTTGGTTGAAACCCAAGTCACAGCTTTTCATCTGCTCTTAAACCCACATAGGCTCTTCCCAGGGGAGGAATTCTGGGTGAACGGATGAAGAGAACTGGGAGGGTAGCATCCTGATGGGGAACCCTAATTTTAAATCAAGCTATTTGGCCTCAGTTTGTGGCCCCAAACATCTGAGAAGTAGTACAAGTTGGTTGGCTGGTTTCCTGGAAAGGAAACTGAGGCCCTGGGCGGCGCCACACAATACACGGAGCTCTGTCTATGGTCCTGCCCCGCCTTATCCCAGACCCAGAAAAGAGCCTGTGGGGACAGGGGGACAAGCCCCACCCCTTTGCTAAGGCCACGCCCCTTCAGCTCATTGGTTACCCAACTCTTCACTAACCCCTGACTGGTTGGAGCTAGGCCCCACCCTCCTGGCCCGATAGGCTGTCCCCTTAGAGCCCCACCCAACTCTCCGGCTTGTGATTGGAGTGTTGGCCCCGCCTTGCTCACTGATTGGCTGGTCCTCCAGGAAGCGCACGTTGTGCAGCGCCTCGCCCTGCTTGGCACGCAGGTTCTGCAGCCAGAAGCGGATGATGCTCTGGCGCTCCTGCGGGGGAGAGGGCGTGAGCCCGAGGAGCGCCAGCCCGCGGGCCTCACGGGCCTGGGACACAGCGGGGGCCCGGGGCCGGCCTCACCTGGGAGGTGAAGAATCGCAGCTCGCTCTCCACATTCTCGTAGATGAAGTCTTCCTCACAGGAGAAGCCACGGGTGCCCCCGCCGAACTCAGCCTTCACGGCCTTGCGCAGACCCAGCTCGTCGGCCCCCCGGAGTAGGCTACAGGGAGGGCAGTAGAGGTGGTACATGAGGGAGGCCCCGGCTCACCATCCTGGAGCTAAGGATGATGCACCTGCGGCCTCTTGGGACAAGGGCAGGGTAGCATGGTTGGCGCTTGGAAGAGCAGGGAGCCAGGTGGCAGGGTCAGCGAGAGGCCAGGGACAGGGGACTCGCCTCTCATACGTGGCGGTGACAAAGAAGGCATAGGCACGTGTGTGGCGGTGGTGGCGGACTTGCACGATGAGTTCCGGAATGCCCACGCGGATGTGGTTCAGCAGCCATAGCAGCGTGTGGTCATCGGTCGTGTCTGCCAAGGGGCACAGGGACCGATGGCTTTTGCTAAGAGGAGGCTGAGGGCCTCCTACCTATTCCCGCCTTGGAAAGTCGAGCTCAGGGCATTGGTGTGTGTGTGTGTGTGGGGGGGTTACCTGGGAAGGTCATCAGCACGTCGCAGTTCTCTGTGGGCACCGTCTTCATCCACGCCTTGTGGGACACCAGGTAGCGACCTGCCTGCAGGAGCCGCTTCCCGAAAAGCTTATCTGGGGGGTGGCGTGGCAGGCTGGGGTCAGGCCACTCGGGGACCCAGGCCCCAGCCTCCAGTTTTGGCGTGTGTTCCTCCGTCCACGTCCTTGCACCAGCCCGGCCCTCCTCCAGGAACGCCCTTCCTCTGGGTCTTCCCTTACAAATCTTACTCATTCTTGAGGCCCAGCTCCGCCTCCAAACCCACAATCGATGGGGAGCTCATTAGCAGCCCTGAGGCTTCACCACATCATGACAGCGCGTCCTTCCAGCAGCCCCATGAACCGGGTGTGATTGTTACCCCCATTTCACAGGTGAGGACACTGAGGCCCGGAGCGTTTAAGTCACGCGCCCAAGGTCACGCAGCCGCGCTGGGATTCGAACCCTGGTCCGTGGGATTCTGTACCCTCCGCCGAGAGGCTCTCTCAAGTGCATCCCTGTCCCGCCGCGATCCAGCAGCCCCAGGGTGGCTGGGCTCAGCCCCACGACAGGGCTCTCGGAGGGGCGTGTCCGTGTCTCCGAGCCGGGACCCCCGCCCGCTGTACGGTCCCAGCCCCGCCTGCCGGGCCGCAGCCGCAGTGCTGGGAGGAGCCCGCCCCTTGGTCGGACACCAGGCCCGGGACGTCTGACCCCAATCCTCCCCGTCCAGCCGACGCGCGCACCCCGGGCACCTCAACCCTGTCCGGTCCAGCCGCCCCACACATACCCAGAACTCCGGACGCCGGGGCTGCAGGCTCGCCCTCCGGCGGGGGCCTCTTGCCACGCTCGCCCTCCAGGGACGTGCCCCCAGCGCTTGAAGGGACCTCGGCCATGGCGAGGACAAGTCAGGTCACAGGCTGCAGGCGGCCCAGGCGCCGGGGGGCCGCGGACTCATGGGGCAGGTGCAGCCGCCGAGCGCGCGGGAGGAGACAAAGGCCGCGCCCTCCCGCGCCGGCCGCCGTCCTCGCGAACCCGAGCGCTGCTTCTCGTCTCCGCCCGAGCCGAACCTCGATTCTCCTTCCCACCCGGGAGCTCTTCACTCTCTGGTTCTCCTCTTAGCCCTCCCGCCTCGCTCTCTGGTTCTTGTCTCCGCCCGTGTTGTTTTCTGGGTTCCCTTCTCGCCCGCCCACCTCGCTCTGTGGTGCTCGTCCCCGCCCGCACCGATGTTGCATTCTCCAACTCGGAGTCCCTCCCACCACGCCCTCGCCGCTTCCTGGTCTCTGTCTCAAAGCCCGGGTTTCCCCATCTGCAAACCCCGGAGTTCGGAGGCGCTGTTTGGAATCTGAGATGGGCGTGATTTGACTATGGCAGGACGTGAGAGGGGGCGTGTCCGGTGATGATGGGGGAAGATTCCTGATAACAATAACTTCAGCCAGAACAGGAGGTATGCGAATAAATAATTATAGCAGGTCCTGCCTCTGAGCTTTTGCAGGTGCCGTTCAGCTGCCTAGGCCACTCTTCACGCTCTCTTCGACCTGTTAACCCTAGGTCACTTCAGGAGGGAGTAACCTGCTCAGAGAGGATCCGATAGAGCAAAAATAGTCTTCCTAATTAGATGTAAATTTCAGATAAACAAATAAATGTTTAGTATTTCTCAAATAGTACATGAGACACAGTCATACTAAAACGTTATTGTTTATTTTACGTTTTTGGCCGCTGGCCAGTACAGGGATCAAACCCTGGACCTTGCTATTATCAGCACCACGCTCTAACCCATTGAGTATTCATTGTTTATTTTAATTTTTTGGCGGCTGGCCGGTACGGGGATCCGAACCCTTGACTTTGGTGTGATAAATACCGCGCTCTAACCAACTGAGCCAACTGGCTAGCTGTTTATTTTAAATTCACATTTAACTGGGCGTCCTGAATTTTGTCTGGAACCCCAAGCCCTGGCCATCCTGAGCAGTCCACTTCGTTAAACTGAGAGCCCAGCGAGGGTCGTGGCCCAATCTGGTTCTCAATGCCCGGCACACAGTAGGCGCTCGGTGTACACTTGCTACAGATGGAACCAGCGGAGATGGAGAATGCCGTCGTTTGTTTCTATTTTACAGATGAAAAAATCGAGCAGGGCGGAGCATGGGGGGATTAGAACTCTAGCCTGTCCAACAGATTTTTTCCCAAAGAGCAGGTGCACTGCCCGCCCGCTCTGGTCAAGAACCAGAGAATTGGCCTGCGAAGGTACTCCCAGAGACCCCGCCCAGCCGGAGCCTGGAATTCCACCCTCAGCGCTTTATCCTGCGGTTCAGCGCTGTCCCGAGTTAACCTGAAAGTAACTCCCAAGCCTCCCTTTTCTGGCTTTCGGGGAGCCAGAGACAGACCAGACACTGGGCTCTGCAGGTGCAGACCTGGACCAGAAAGAGGTTCCAGGAAGACTCTCTGGAGGAGGGGACGCTGGAGCTGGGCCTTGAGGATGGCCAGGAAAGGCATCGGGGCCGAGGGAAAGCTGGGGAGGGGAGAGAAGCTGGAAAGTTCCAGGAAAAGCAAGAAGGACTCTTCCTAGAAGTTTGGGCACGATTTACGCTGGCCAGGGCGTGGGTTCCCCGGAACTCATCCCTCGGAGTCACTGAGATGCTCTGAACTTCCGGTCTCAACCTGGGCACAGAGAGGTAAGGATCCCTCCTTTTCGGACGGGAAAACTGAGTGCGCATAGGTCCGTGGCTTGCCTAAGGCTACGGAGTGGCCAGATGGAAAATACGTGACTCGAACCCTCTCCGCGCTGTCATTTCCACCGCCTTCTGCCAATCCCTGTCTCTTCTTCCACCCCTCATTAACATTGTTTGGGATCCCTGCCGCTCTAGGACCCTAAAAATTCGGTCTAATGTTGCCGGGGGGAACATCATTTCGCTACACCTACTCCCTGGAGCTTCCGCCCCCTTTCCCTTGCAACAGCCAATGGAAACAAAGATCTTTAGTCGGTGGGCGGTACGTCTCCTAAGGGACTCAATGGTAGCCGAGAATTGTTGAGCACGTTACCAGCCACGCCGCGGAGTGGGCGGGGCCTCCTGCTCAGACTTGAAGTCTCTAGCAGGCAGGTGGGGCAGGCGGGTCGCAGGTTGTACATCCATGTGGCGGGGGCTGTGGAGCCTGGCGGCCCGGGCGGCACATTGGCCTCACAGGTGGGGGGACCCGGGGAATGGGTGTGACAGCGTGGGGCTCTGCTAGGGTTTCGAACCCGCTCCCTGGGTTCTGGAGGCTCAATTCCCTGGTTCAGAGCCACCAATCGCGTTCTTCCAAGCCCAAATCTGTCCACCCCCTACCACAAAGCCCAGATCTGGATCAGATTGTTGCCTCAGAGTTCACAATCCGATCACCCTCCGGCTTCAGATTTCTTTTTTTTTTTTTTTGGCGGCTGGCCGGTAGGGGTATCCGAACCTTCGACCTTGGTGTTACAAGCCGTGCTCTCAGTAACTGGCTCACCGGCCAGCCCCCAGATCTTTCAATCTGCGCATCGCCCAGCCGCAGAACCCCCACTTGCGGCATCTCCCAACCATCCAGCCCTCGACCCACCTGCCACTCCGAGGCAAAGCTTCTCGGATATGCTGACTCGCCCCCTCTCCCAGACTGTGCACGCGCCAGAGCAGCGGCGCCCTGGACCCCGGTCCCGCGGCCACCATCTTCGCACTAAGCTCGGGCCAAGGCCGCTGCGGCATCGCAGTGATCCGGACCAGCGGCCCCGCCAGCGGACACGCCCTTCGGAGCCTCACGGAGCCTCGAAACCTGCCACCGGCCCGCAAGGCCAGCCTGCGCCTGCTCAGCGACCCCCGCTCCGGGGAGCCGCTGGACCGCGCGCTGGTGCTCTGGTTCCCAGGTGAGGAACCCCAGGTCCTGAACCTCCTGTTGCTCCCTTGACAGTTTTCCCTCTTTCGGAGTTGGCCCAGGCTATCCCCTCCTCCTGACTCTCGTCTGTGCCACACTAGGTCCCCAGAGTTTTACGGGTGAGGACTGCGTGGAGTTCCACGTGCATGGAGGCCCGGCCGTGGTGAGCGGCGTCCTGGAGGCTCTGGGTGAGTGGCAGCCTTGGGTTCCAGGCCTGGCTCTGCCAGTGGGCCTGGGCGGGGACCAGAGGGCTTAAGACCCAGGGCCATCCCGCAGGCAGTGTGCCCGGGCTGCGGCCGGCGGAGGCGGGTGAGTTCACCAAGCGGGCATTCGCCCACGGGAAGCTGAGCCTGACCGAGGTGGAGGGGCTGGCCGATCTGATCCACGCGGAAACCGAGTCGCAGAGGCGGCAGGCCCTGAGGCAGCTGGATGGGGAGCTGGGCCACCTCTGCCGCAGCTGGGCCGAGACCCTCACCAAGGCAAGTCCCCCATTTGCCTTCCCTGCCTCAGAGACCCAACCTGTCCATCCCCCACATGGGAGCACCCCACCTATTTGTCATCCAAATCCCTGCGTTAAAGCTTCCGGCCTAGGAGCCATCAATCGGCAAATTTTGCCCAATTGGGCAAATTGGGCGGTGGGTTCTTGGGCCCTCACGCCACCTACTCTCCCCTTCTCGCCCAGGCTCTGGCCCACGTGGAGGCCTATATTGACTTCGGCGAGGATGACAACCTGGAGGAGGGTGTCCTGGAGCAAGGTGGGTCCACCTGGGGGTGGGGAGTGGAGACACCTGGCATCTAAGCCTCCAAAGGCCCCATCACTCTCTCCCCTCTGCCTTCCTTCCCCCACCCACAGCGGACAAAGAAGTGCGGAAGCTGGAGGTGGCACTGGACGCACATCTACGAGATGCGAGGCGAGGCCAGAGGCTCCGTTCAGGGGCTCACGTAGTGGTCACTGGACCCCCCAATGCGGGCAAGAGCAGTCTGGTGAACCTGCTCAGTAAGCGGGAGGTGGGCAGGGGCCGGGGCCGGGGCGGGGCCTAGTGCCGGGGGCGTGGCCAGGAGCTGGGAATTGCGCTGTCAGGTCTGGGGAAGGGGCTAGAATATTATGAAAGCTCCGTCCAGCCAGGCGGTGAAGCCTGGGGGAAGAGCTCCCTTGCCCCATCATCCCGTCCCCTTCCTCTTCCACCCCCACCCAGGCCAGAAACCTGTGTCCATCGTGTCCCCGGAGCCGGGAACCACTCGCGACGTGCTGGAGACCCCAGTGGACCTGGCCGGGTTCCCGGTGCTGCTGAGCGACACAGCAGGGTTGCGGGAGGGCGTGGGGCCCGTGGAACAGGAGGGTGTGCGGCGCGCCCGCAAGAGGTGGGTGGGCAGGGCGGTGAGAGGGGGACGCGAGCCTTTCCTCTGTCCTTTCTCCCTGTTGTGTTTGTCCTTCTTCCTGAACCAGAAAAGGCTGCTAAGCTCTTTCAGTGATTTGTTTCTGATTAGGCTCTGCCCCGCCCCTCGCGCTCTGCACCGCCCCTGCGTGCTCTGCACCGCCCCCTTCGCTCTGCACCGCCCCCTTCGCTCTGCACAGCCCTTCGAGGTCTGCACCGCCCCCTGGTGCTCTACCCCTGCCCCTCGTGCTCTTCTCTGCCCTGCCCTGTGCCCTTAGTTGCTTACCTCTGGGGTCACTGCTTTATTGGTTCTCTCTGCTTCCTCAGGCTGGAGCAGGCTGACCTCGTTCTGGCCATGCTGGATGCCTCTAATCTGGCCTCTCCCTCCAGCTGCAACTTTCTGGACACGGTTGTAGCCCCCCTGGGAACCCGGAACCCCAGTGGGAGCAGCCCGCGCCTCCTGCTAGTGCTGAACAAGTCAGATCTGCTGCCCCCTGAGGGCCCAGGTCCCTGTCCTGACCTGCCCCCCCACCTGCTGCTGTCGTGCCTGACCGGTGCAGGGCTGCACGGCCTCCTGGAGGTGCTGAAGAAAGAGCTGGCTGCAGTGTGAGCCCCTCTCAACCCGCTACCCCCAGCTTCCCCTGACCCAAGTTCAAGTGGGGGCTGAGTCACTGGCTTTGGGCACGTACCTGCCACTCAGCCTCAGTTTCTGTATCTGCAGAATGGGTATAAATGGGTTGCAGAGGTTGAGAGAGACCACATTTCTTATCTCTTCCAGGTGTGGGGACCCATCCACAGGCCCACCACTCCTGACACGAGCAAGGCACCAGCATCACCTCCAGGGCTGCCTGGACGCCCTCGGCCACTACAAGCAGACCAAAGACCTGGCCCTGGCGGCTGAGGCGCTGAGGGTCGCCTGGGGGCACTTGACCCGCCTCACAGGTGGAGGAGGCACTGAGGAGATCCTGGACATCATTTTCCAGGACTTCTGCGTGGGCAAGTGAGGGGATGGGCAGAAGCCTTGGGTGATCTGGGAGCAACTTAGGCCAAATGGGATGCTCATCTGCCGAAGGAAGAACTCGATTCCTAAACGGTGAGGTGAAGCAGGGGGTGTGAACTCCCTGCAGGGGCTTGCTGGAGATTCAGGGCCTGGAGTGGGACTGAATGGAGGTCCCTTTGGGCACTGGATGCTGGGCGGTCTGAGTTGGGAGGAAGGTAGGAGGAGCTCAGGGGTCTTTGTTTCATAGTTTTTAATTTATTTTGCAAATACCAAAGGAATGTAAAAAACTCAGGTGATCTGGAAATGTTTCAACATAGAGATCTCCCTTACCCCCTCTCACAGGGTCATGGCTTAACATGTGTCTTTCCAGAACTTTCTCTGCATGTTTGTGTACTTATGGATGCACTTATCAAATATATGTTTCATCTTGTGCTTTGTACATAAATTGTATTATGTTAATGGCTCTACAAGTTGCTGTTCCTTTCTTAGTATTAATCTTGACATTTTGCTTCTTATATCCTAAAAGTGATTTACAGAATCCAGGGGCCTTCCTTGCTCTCCAAACTCAGTCTTTATTCATTCACTCCCTCCCTCAGTGAATACTTATTAGGCACCTACTCTGAGCCAAAACTGTACACATCATCTTATTGAATACTGATAACAGCATGATGTAGTGGGTGTTTTGTTCCAGTGTTACAGATGAGGAAACTGAGGCTCAGGGAAGCAGTTATTTGCTGGAGGTCTTCCAGCTTTGGGGTTTGCACACAGGTTCGGTTGACTCCAAATTTGAGTTCACTGAGGCAACGGTGGGACACTGGGATCTCCAAGGGAAACAGCAGGCATTACAGTGAGGTCTGACGGCTGCTGTGTGAGCTCATGACAAGGAGATCTGACCTGGTAGGGACTTGAGGGTGGGCTGCCCTGCAGAGCGGACATTTGTGCTGAGATCTGAAGGAAGGAAGCCAGATGGAGGAGGCTTGGGAGAGCGTCCCAGGCAGAGGGCACCACATGTGCAAAGGCCCCGAGGTGGGAGCATCATGGTGTGTTCAAGGAACAGTGCGGCGGCCATTGTGGCTGGAGCAGAGTGAGAGAGGGGAGAGGGGACAGGAGGGGCCTGGGGGGGGGGGCCTGAATTCTGGACCTACCAGCAGAGGGCGCCTTGCCCTAACAAAGGAGATGCGTTCCACCGCTGAAGGATACAGGCCTCCCCACCCACCTGGTGGCCTGTGAATGGTTAACTCCCCTTCGCAGAGGCGAACTGGGTCTCAAATAGGGTCAGGACCTTTTCCAGAATCAGAAAATAATCTCCACCTCCAGTGGTTGAAGACAGAAACTCTCCAGTTTCAGGGGACATGTGAGCACAGGCAGGAGGCGTCCAGGGCAGACAGAGAGCATGAAAGATTCGATAGGTGGCCCTCAGAATTCCCCAGCCACCCAACTAAACGGGACCCCTGCCCTTGTTCTCTCACAGGCTTCACTGCAATATGCACTATTGGGTAACCTGTTTGCTAATTCAAAAACTGGGGTGGCCCTGAGTGGGGGGCTCTTGAAGGGAAAGGGTCACACCACGAGCTGAGTCCATGGATATTTCTATGATGCTCATTTTTCAGAAAAACAAACTGATGCCCAGTGAAGGGAAGCAATAATGTGGGTCCAATGGGAGTGGGCTTGAGTGGGGAGGGTCCCGAGGGCTCCCAAGAGGGGTAAGCAGGGCCTGGGCCAGGATGGGGAGGGGGATGCGCTGTGGGCAAGATGCCTGGGCCCCACCCGCCTTCCCTGGGGTTCTGGCGCACGGCTGGACTGAGGTCCTTGGCTACAATACCTTTTTTCCAAGAAGGGTGAGGTGGTTTGTGGGAAGCAGCTATGGGGGTTATTTATAGAGGTCACAGGAAATCCCCAAAGAGTCAGAAGCTCTCTTGGCTGCTGGACCTCAGGGTCAGGGAGGGGGCCCGATCTGCCAATTGCTGCCTGCCTGGTGCTCAGCACCCACCCGGCCCCCAAGGAGCCACCAGCCTGGGAGAGTCAGAGCTTCAGGGTCAGGGCTGCAAAGAGGGAAGGGTGAGGCTGGCGGGCCCAAATGGGGAGCAAGGGCTGTACATGGGGCATCAAGGAAGGCTTTCTGGAGGAGGGGGTCTCTGGAGCTGGGCCTTGCATACAAAAGAGTTTGTCAGGCAAAATAAAGGTATTCTCATCTGAGTGCACTGCAGAAATTAAAGCTTGGTATTTTTTTTTTTTTTTTTTTTAAAGATGACCGGTAAGGGGATCTTAACCCTTGACTTGGTGTTGTCAGCACCACACTCTCCCAAGTGAGCTAACCGGCCATCCCTATATGGGATCCGAACCCATGGCCTTGGTGTTATCAGCACCGCACTCTCCCGAGTGAGCCACGGGCCGGCCCCAAGCTTGGTATGTTTTTAATAAGAGAATTGAATGTTCAGGACAGCTGGAGGCAAGGGCTGCACTGTGTGTGTGCGCATGTGGCACAAAAGGGTTGAGGAGCTGGACTTCATCCCAAGGGTAATGGAGAGCCACTGAGGGTGTGTGAGCAGGAGAGGGACTTGGTCGAATTCTGTGATGGAAAGACCCCTCTGGAGCAGCACAGAAGCCATACTAGAGGCAGAGACTGAGGTACAAGTCTGCAAAGGCCGAACCAGGGATGGTATATCCTGGGATGTTCTGGATGGGTGAGACTGAAGAAGGTCCAGAGAGTTTAGAATTATTATTATCACACCCATTTCTTGGATGGGAAAATGGAGGGTGAGATCGACCGAGCCAAGATTCAAACCCCGGAACATCTGGCTCTGGAACTCCAGATCAGGCCTCCTGTGGTTGCTGGGACCAGCCGGCATCCGTGTCCCCACAGGACTCCAGGCTGCTTGGGCAGTAGGCTCAGGGTCAGGGACATCCCTCCTTCCCTGGGGCCTCTGTCCCAGCCTGTCTGGGCAGCCTGGTGGGGCTGACCCCCCTGCCCTGGCTTGGCGGAGCCCCAGCCAAGTGTTTCCTGCAGCGACGTCTCTCTCCCGCATTTCCGTATCCCGGAAATATCGCTCCTTTGTCCTTCCAGACCAGCCTGCTCTAAGCGTGGCGCTGCCAGCCCTGTGTCCTGGTGACTCATCCCTTCCCTGTCCAGGGTCCCAGGGGATGGGCTGGGAGGGAATCAAAGGGGAAGGAGTGGGGGAGAAGTTTAGATACTCTAGACCACAATTTTTAGGCAGTTTTCCCCTCGATGGCCATTTGTTGTGTTTCCCAGAGTTTTTATTCATAGGAATAAAGTTTCAGGAATGGGGCTGCTGTACTCCTTTAATTTCATTGCCTATCCCCAAATTAGTTTCTGGAAGGGTCGTGGTATGATTTGCATTTCTACCAGTCCTGCAGGAAAATACACTTTTCTCCACATCTTTGCCAGTAGTAGGTGTTAGGGATTTTCCATCTTCCCCCAGCCTGTTGGGTGCAACATGGTTTCCCCATGCTCCCACAATTGGCTTTTTCCTGGCTGCTGGCTAATTTGGTGATATCAGTGAGTTAAAGTGCTCCCAAACTAGGCATTTGTACACTTTCTGGCATCTTGTCTAACCACAAAAACAAAACACAAAACAAATGGCCTGGGGCTTTTGTGACATTGCTGCTGGAATCATTCTGGGGAGGAGGAATTCCTGGTACTCACTGTAGGCTGTGCTGTTTCAGCAATTGTTGGCAATACCTGGGGAATTCCTTGCAAACCTAGAAAAACCAAAGCTACAAATGGATATCTACTTTAAAAAAAAAAAAAAAAAGATGACCAGTAGGGGGATTTTAACCCTTAACTTGGTGTTGTCAGCACCACACTCTCCCAAGTGAGCTAACCGGCCATCCCTATATAGGATCCAAACCCGTGGCCTTGGTGTTATCAGCACTGCACTCTCCCAAGTGATGTTGTCCCATGTGGTTCTTTGTAGTCATTTCATTAACCCCTTATTGGCAGTGACTTTGCTATTTTCTTTCCTATATTTTTTGGTGGCTGGCTGGTCCAGGGATCTGAACCCTTGACCTGGGTGTTATAACACTGTGCTCTAACCAACTGAGCCAACCGACCAGCCCAGCTTTCCTATTTTCTGTTCACATGTAGAAATGCCTGTGCCTTGGGGGATGCTGGTGACCCCCACCCCGTGTTTTTTCCAAGTAGAAGAGTCTTTGGGCTTGGGGACGTTGTGGAGGCAACTTCTCTGACTTTCTATCTTCTTTCTAGTCTTTTCTCCCTCGTGGCCATACAGTACCTTTTCAAAGCAGAAATCACAACTCTGGAGTCTTTCAAGGGATTTGCTAATATTTATTAAGTGCTGCTAACATTAGGGGCCACAGGCAGGGCTGGGCATGGGGGGAGAGGAGCAGCTTCCCTCATGGGCGACCCTCACCCCTGGACAGGTTGCCGTGGCGGGGGCCTAGAAGCCCCCGGGCGGGCATCGGAGGTGAATGGCTTCCTGTTCTCACCTCCTGGCTGGGCGCTGGGGATGGGAAGCGAGGGCAGATAAGGAAGTTGGAAGAGGGGGGTGGCAGGGCACAGGGCTATGCAGGACAGGGATGGGGTGTGATGCTGTGGGCATCTTGACCCGTGTGCCCCAGGGGGAGGTGACACTGGGCGAGGGTTGGGTAGAAGGTGTGTGTGAAGGGAAATGTGCTTGTGTGATGTGGGTGCCGTATCTCTGTCCAGCATTGTCACTGTAAGTGTGTGAAGTTGTCACTGTGTCTGTGTGATTTATGATGTCACTGTGGCATGATGGGTGAGAGATTGTGTGGCGTGGGTGTGGGGCTGTGAGAGAGTATTATGGGGTGTGCACGTGGGAAGTGGTCTGGCTGCGGCCCAGGGCTCAGGGGCGCCGGAGGGGGCTGTGTCCGGTGCCGTGAGCTCCTCGCTGCACTGTGTCTGCAGACTGGCCAGTTGGGGCCACCCTCGGTCCTCTGGGGCCAGAGTCTCAGCCACTAGGGCAGGAAAGGGATGGAAACACAACCGTCGGTCAGCCAGACAGTTTGCTGGAAGGACAAACTTCACTGGGTCCTGGCTTCTCATCCTCAGAGGAAACAAGACGTCCTGAGGACACTGGTCCTGCCTCCTTCCACCCCTGGCCCCAATTTGCTCTCAGGGACCCTACAGCTCCTTCAGGGTTCACCTTCTCTGTTAGACACCTATGTGTTGAAACTCCCTGGGAGGGTGAGACTGAAGTCTGTTCCTCCCTATGACACAGATGAAGAGACTGAGGTTCAGAGAGGCCATCTCATGAACCCCAAGCCTCTGTTGCAGCCCGTCAAACTCTCCCCTATGCTCCTCTTCCCCTGGTCTCCGAGGCAGGGCCTCAGTCTCCCTCTTTTGTCCACACAGAGTTGGTCCAGGGCCAGCCCCTCATGTGTTCCCAGGAGGGTTTTTCTAATGAGCCTGCCCCCGCTCACACGCCCTCTGTGGCTCCCCAGCGCCCTCAGGACAAAGCCCAAGACTTGAGACCTGGCATTCAGGGCTCCACCCTCTGTGCCTCTGCCAGGCCTTCCCATCAGGGACTCAAAACCTGCCAAAGTCCCAACAATTCCAAGAGCCCTCACGCGGCTTCCGTCCCCCACCCCCAACCCCCACTGCCTTTGCATGAGCCGTCTCACTGTCTGGAATGCCCTTCCCCCTCCTGGGCCTGGCAAAGGTTCTTATGAGGGGTCAGGGGTTGGCGCAGAGACTGTTTCCTGGTGGGGGAGGAGGGGGCTGCAGCCAAGTCCTGCTTCCGCTGGCCCCCTCCCTTCCTTCCCCAGCTCTTCCCTGGGGCCCCAGTGGCCTCACGTTCCTTGGCTGGCTCCAGTCCCCCTCCCTGGCTCCAGACTCCATCCTCAACCAGAATTCACCCAGCTCCAGGCCAGGCTCTGGCCAAGCCCTTATATCCATTCTTCATCCTCTCCCGCCCACTGGTCTGTAAGGGAACGTTGTCCCTCCACATTTTTTTGGAGACTGAGGCCCTGAATCCCCCATCATCGCTCATCTGGAACAGTGCAGTCACTTCTGTCCTGGTCCCCAGCTCTTGTCCTCATCACCCACAGTCTGTTCTCCCACAGTGACCAGAGGGAGACTGTGGATGCCTGAGCTGGGTCAGGTCCCTCCTCTGCTCACAGCCTTCTCAGGACTCCCAGAGTCCTCACAGCCACAGGCCTTGCCTGATTTGCCCTGTCACCTACCTTCTGTCACCTCCTCCTACTCTCCCCCTAGATCACTCCACTCCAGCCACACCAAACTCTTCACTCAGATTCACCAGGCATGGTCCTGCCTCAGGGCCTTTGCACAGGCTGTGCCCTCTGCCTGGTGCGCTTTTCCTGGGATCCCTCTGTTGTTCCCCCTCCACCTCCTTTACATGTCTGCTCAAACATCACCTCCTCGTGAAGCCTGCTATGGCCCCCATGGAAAATTCCAACCTCCTCACACTCCCTCATCCCTTTTTTGTTTCGCCCATCACCAAGGGGCTCTCAAACGACACATTCGTGTGGCTTATCACCCCTCTCCCCTTCTAGATGATGAACCCCACAGGGGTAGGGGTTTTGTGCCTTATTCCCCGCTGTGTCCCCGGCACCTGGCATCATGCCCCGCACCAGCAGCGGCTCAATAAATACAGTTGAATGAACAAATGAATCACAATGTTGATGACAATGAACTTGAGCAGCATTCAAGGTATGCCTGGCTCAGAACGAGGGCTGAATGCATATCGTGAGCCCTTCACATGACAATTTTCACCACACCCAGGCACATGCCCCCTGGACCAAGATATATTTCATATTTGTCTTTATATCAATTGTTTTTAGACTTGAATTTATCTCTGAATGACACTCAGTCTCACCATCTAAAAGAAAGCTGGTGCACTTGCCATTTGTAGAAAATGACTTTAAAATGTCCAATTAGAGAGCTGGCCAGTTATAGAGTGTGGTACTGATAACACCAAGGTCAAGGGTGCAGATCCCCATACCGGCCAGCTGCTGGAAAAAAAAAAAAAGAGCTGGCCAGGTCAGTTGATTAGAGAGTGATGCTGATAACACCAAGGTTCAATCCCTGCACTGGTCAGCAAAAAAATAAAAATGTTCCAGAAGAGCTAGACCTTGTGCTCAAGTGTAGTGGACGCTGGGCCTGGGTCTGGCCTCGATTTTTTTTTTTGGTGGCCAGCCAGTCTGGGGATCTGAACCCATGACCTTGGTGTTATAAAGCTGTGCTCTAACCAACTGAGCTAACCGGCCAGCCCTGCCCTTGACCTGTGAACATGGGGGATGCACACGCGTCTGGTGGGTGTTAGGGCAAGTTAGTATCTGCTGAGAATTTCTGGAGGTGCAGAATGAACACCAGCAGAGGAATCAACTCTCCCAGTGCACGGGGAGGGTGGTTTGATGCTGGGCCTCGGCCCTGGCCTCAGATGAGGTGCATCAAAAATTCAGACATTGAGATTCTAAGGCCAGTGGCCCGCTCCACATTGCCTGGTGTGTGGCTGGCTGAGCTGGGACTCAAACTCAGAGCCGATGCCCTGGCCCACTGGGCCCTGGCCCCTCTCTCAGGGGGAAGGGAGTCGACGCTAAGCCCAGCAGGCCAGAGCCCTTCCTGCGACCCTGAAGAGAGAATCAGGAGGGGCCCAGGCTTAAATGCACATTGTTCTCTCAGCAGGGGGACGTCATTTGGGGTAAACATGTCAAGAGCTTCCCCGGTTCTCAGCTGGGGCCCTGACAGTCCTGGGCCTGGAGCCCAGCCCTGACCCTGACATGCCACCGCCACGTGACCCCAGGCTGGTCACTTCCCTGGGGCCTCAGTTTCCTCCTCTGAGAAATGGGATAATAATAGAAACTCCTTCCTTGCCACGAGGGCTTTGGGCCAAGATGGAGAGAGGAAAATTGTGTTTGCTCGGGGCGGGGGTCTCTTCCCCACCTTCTCATTTCCCACCATGTGGGGCTGAGGGCTTTGTCCCAGGCACAGCCATCTGGAGCAAAGGGGGTGAGCTCCCTGTCGAAGGGAGTGTGTAAGAAGAGGCGTGGTGGAGGTGGGGAACCCTGGGGGGTTGGCAGCAAAGCCTCTGGAAGTCTGTGTGGCTGCAGAGCCTGCACTGAGCACCTAAGCCTGTGATAGACCCGTGCTGGCAAGAGCCTGGTCTCAAAGCAGTTGCAGGCACAGTCTTGGGGTTCAAAGGGATCTGACTCAAAATCCCAGCACCTCCCTGAGCCTCAGGTCCTCAGCTGTAAGTGGGAATGCCAATCCCTGACTCCTCGCTCAGTGGTGTCATATGGTCCTGAATGGAGTAGCCACGACCCAGAGGTGGTGAGCACAGGGTGTTCTTGGGGCTGTGGCCTGAGTCACCTTCCCTGTGACGCACAGGGTGTTGTCCAACGGATGACCAACCCTAGGAAGTTGTGAGGGGGCCACAGACATCGAGTTATGAGCGTGCCAGATGCCCTCAATGCATCCTACCGAGGCCCCTGTCCCTTGCCGTGGCCATTTGCAGACAGCACTTTACCGTGAGATGTGTTTCCAGGTACCCAACTTCAGAGACTCATTTTTGTAGAGGTAGAAAGTGAGGCTCAGAGGTCGCTCCTCTTTGCTCCTTCCACTCCAGTTAGTTTCCCCCACCCTAGTGCAGCCTCCAGGCCGCTGACCTGGCTGTTCCTGCTGCCTGGAACACTGTTCCCCCGGCTTTCCTCCAGGGTCAGCTCCTCCCCATCCTCCAACTCAAAGACACCCTCCTCACCAAGGCCCTCCCTTGCCTGTTCAGAGTCTGATCACCTGGGTTCATGTCCCAGCTCTGCTGTGTTACCTGGGGCATGATGCACGCCTTCTTTGTGCCTCACTTTCCTCATCCAGAAAGTGGGGATGATAGTAGCTCCCTCAGCAATCAGGCTTGTGAGGAGTGATGACTTCGTCATGCAAAGTGCTGGGAGCTGTGCAGAGCTCACAGTAAGTGCCTACTAATTGTAGGCTCTTGAGTCATCTTATTGTGACTCATTGTCTGTCTTGCCCAGTACTCTGAGTTTCATGAGGACAGAACCGGGGGTGTCTTGGTTACTGCTGTGTCCCCCAGGCCCAGTGCAAGACCTAGTACACAGCAGGTGCTCAATTAAGGAAGCAGTAGGTGTGAGATCAGCCTCCCTTCACCCTCAGTCTTGGTCCCAGCCTCACCCACAGTCCTGAAACTGAACCGCCTTAGGCCGTCCAGTGCCTTACCTGGATGAGGCTACAGCGTTGCCTGCAGGGGCCCGCTGGGACTCCAGGATCCTCTTCTTGAATTCTTCCAGGCCAGCTGGGTCTGTGGAGAGAGGGAAAGATTAGGCTGGGCCCCAGCAGCCTCCATCCCTGGGCTAGGGTGGGCTGGCAGCTGGGAGAGTGGTGGTGGGGTGGGGCGGGGTACCGAGTGGAAAGGACCCCTCCCCCCACTTGCTGTCTTTGCTCTCAGTCACTCACCGATGGTCTGCGGGTTGGGGGCAGGACCCACAGGTCTTGGCAAGGGCACCATCGGCTGCGACTGTGGGAAGAAGCGTAGAGGGCGGTTGGCGGGAGACCCTGACCTCGAGTCCCAGGGACGCCCCTGCCCCTCTGTGCCCTTCCAAACCTGAGTCTCTGAGGTCCTTCCTGAGTAGTCTAACAGATCCCCATGTAGACGGACCCACATGATAACGGGTGTACAATCACCTGCACCCAACGTAAGCCCTCAGATGACCTGGAGACTCCAGGGACTGGCTTCCCTTGGCAGTCCCCAGAGACCCCACTCTGCAGAGCTGGCCTGTCTCAGTCTCCATCACAGCATCAGTACCAGCTTGACTCCAAACCATGACCCCAACTGAGTCCACCCACCCATTCCGGCTCCCCTCCAGACTGAAGGCGACCTGCTCTGTAAACTCACTGGACCCGGATCCTAAATGCCATCCCCTGGAACAACCCTGAGCCAATCCCCCAAAACCTGAAATCTAAAGCCAATTCTGAACTCAGTCACCTAAAATCTGATCCCAACATGAAAATGGAACCTTCCTTATAATAAAGCCCCAACCTAAACCCAATCCCAATTACAAAACTGATCTGACCATGTTTTTGGATCTAACTCTGACTCCAACCATCTCCTAGGCCTGACTACTGTGAAAAATCCAACTCTCAACCTCGTTCCCCCCAGCCCCAGCCCTGGGCTCCACCATGACCACCATAAACACCTTCCAAAGCCACACTCAACCCCAGGTCAACCTTAGACCCCACCCTAAGCTTGTCCGCATTCCCAATCCCACCCCAAACTTCACCCCAATCCTAAGGTTCTATGGAGCCCTGATCTTAACATCCAAACAGCCCTAAGCTCATCAGTCATGCCAAAACCGCATCAATCTGGCCCCACCCCAAGATTGGTATCCACACCAGCTTCTACTCTAGATCCAGCCCTGACCCTCAACCCTACCCCAATGTCTCCCCAACCTTGACCAAGGGTCACCTAATCCTTCAATTTGAATATATACCAACTGTAGCCCAACTCAACCCTTCACCAGTCATCCACAACACAATCCAACCTCAACTCCTAATCCATTGTCAATGCCAATCCTGATCTTAATGCCAGTGAAATCCTAAATTCACCCTTGAGCCCAAACCTCTAGTCATCTCTAGACCCACTGGCCACCTACACCCACCACAGCCTCAACTCCAGCTTCAAACCTTCAATGCAATCTAATCCCAAAGCAACTAAAATCCTAGATTCATGCCTCACCCAATCCTAGACCCAATAGCCACCCTATATGAGACCTCTGACTCAACTTTTAACCTTTTCTCACAATCCAAACTCCAAATTCAACCCCAGGTCTAAGATGAATGAAATCTTAAATGGAACCCTAACCACAACCCAAACCAACTCCAGACACAGCAGTGACCAAAATCTCATCTCAGCCCAACTTAAACATGAGTTAGATGTCCACATTAATTCATCCTTTAGACATCCTGACCCTGATATCACTCCCTACCCTAACCCAACACCCCTGATTCTTCAACTCAATTTAAATACATCCCAACACTGACCTCAGCCTCAATCCCAACCCCAACCCTAGATGAATCCCTAAACCTAACCTTAAACTAATTTGAGGTCCATCAGCCACCCTAAACTCAAACCCAGTCTCAGTGTCAATCTTTTCCCAATGTCATTCCTAATTCCAAACTCCACTCCAATCCTAATACCAATAAAATTCTACAGGATACATAATTGTAATCCTAAAACCAACTCTAAGAGTCAATAGCCACCTACAGATCACCCCAACCTCAATTCTAAATCCACCCTCCATGTCTCAGCTCAACCCGATCCCAACACAATTGACATTCTAGGTTCACCCTCTCACCCAACCCTAGACCCAACAGCCACCCTACCTCCTCTGGTTTTAACCCTACCCCCTTTCTCAGTGCCCATCCCCATTCTGTCCCAATCTTAATGCCAGTGAAAGTGTCAAGGGAGTCCTAACCAACCCAACCAAGACGGGGAAGCCAGCTTCAAACCCAAGTCCAAACTCAAGTTCAACATCACCTCCAACATGGCGTCTAGACCCAACTCCAACGCGGCCTCACTCTGGAGCCCGCCAGCCCACCTTGGCCTTGATGCAGGTGTCCAGGGCTGAGTTGGCGACGGCTAGCTGCATCTTGAGCTGATCCACCTCCTTCTTCTTCACCTCCAGCTCCTTGGCCAGGTTGTCCCTCTCTTTCCGCAGTGCCGCCTTCTCCTCCAGGGCTAGCTGGGTCTGCCTGGCACATTCGGCCTGGAGCTTGGCCTCCCGGGCCTGAGCCTCCTTCTCTACCTTCTCTTTGGCCTCGTGACTGGCCCGCAGGCCCTGCTCGGCTTCCAGCTTCTGGCGCTGGAGGTCTGAGTTCTCACGGGCCACGCGCTCGATGCCCGCCCGCAAGCTCCGGGCCAGGTCCTCCACCTTGGCGCTCATGAGGCTGGGCATTTGGTCACAGCTCCTCCGGATGGAGGCCACTTCTGAGCCCAGGAGAGGGTAGTGATTGTAGCTCAGGGTGTCCAGGGAGCGCGGGATAATGGAGTCCCTCCACAGGTTGCGCAGATCCGTCTCAAACTTGTCCTTGTCCAGCGGGAGGCAGAGGGCCTGCACCTTCTGCAGCTGCTCCTCGGCCAGCTGTCGCTCCTGCCGCATCTGTTCCCGGACCTTGCCGCACTCGGCCAGCTGGTCCTCCACCACTCGCTTGCTCAGTGCCAAGCCCTCCTTGTCCTTGGTGCACACCGCCTTCTCCTTGTCCAGCTCCACCTCCAGCGTCTTGGCCTTCTGACCCAGCATGAGGAGCAAGGCTGAAGGGACAGGATGGTGAGACCCAGGAAGGGTGGGAGCTGCCCAGAGCACTGGACGGGGGAGTCCACCACCCCGCTCACCACACCCTGTCACTCACCGTCGCAGCTCTTGTTTGTCTCCTTGAGTTGCTCCTGGCACTGTTTTTCGCTCAGAATGATGGCAGCCATGTACCGCTGGTTATTCATGTAGATGACCTGCCCAATGAGGAGGGGGACACAGGACAGAGCTCAGCCCAGGTGGGGCATGTGGGTGGGCTGGGTTGGCCAAATTCATAAGGGGTCCTTTATAGGCGATGTTGGACTGATCTTCAAAAGTTTTTAGTGACAGGGGCTGGGTGGTCAGCTCAGTTGGTTAGAGTGCAGCCTTATAACACCAAGGTCATAGGTTCTGATCCCCGTACTGGCCAGCCACCAAAAAAAAAAAAAAAAAAGGTTTTTACTGTTAATACTACACAGCCATAAAAAGGAATGCAGTACATATACGAGGGGTCTTCAAAAAGTTCATGGAAAGACCCACATTACCTTTCAATTCTGTTTTTCCACAAACTTTTTGAAGTATCCTTGCATATGCTACAACATAGATGAAACTTGAAAACATTACACCTGCATTTATAGTCAACTAATTTTTTTCTCCTCCTATTAGTCAGGTAGGCCATGTGCCACATTCCTTTGTTTTTAAAATTATTTTTAGTAGACACATAGCAGTGGTACATATTTATGGACTACACTGTGATATTTGGATACCTGTATACAATGTGTAATGATCAGATCAGGGTGATTAGCATACCCATCACCTCAAACATTTGTCATTTCTTTGTGCTGGGAGCATTCAGAATCCTCTCTTCTAGCTATCTGAAATGATACAAGGGTACTTCAAAAAGTTTACGGAAAGACATATCTTTTTTTTAATGTTTGCTCTGTGTTTTTCGGGGGCTGGCTGGTACAGGGATCTGAACCCTTGGCCTTGGTGTTATAACACCTGCTCTAACCAACCGAGTTAAAAGGCAAGCCCTGTCTTTTTTTTTTAAAAGATGACCGGTAAGGGGATCTTAACCCTTAACTTGGTGTTGTCAGCACCACACTGTCCCAAGTGAGCCACCCGGCCATCCCTATATAGGGATCCGAACCCATGGCCTTGGTGTTATCGGCACCACACTCTCCCAAGTGAGCCACGGGCTGGCCCTATCCTTTAATTCTATTTTTCCATGAACTTTTTGAAATACCCTCATGCAATAAATTGTTAACAATAGTCACCCTGCAGTGCTATAGAAATCTAGAACTTTCCCCTCCTATCTAGTTGTAATTTTATACCCATTGATGAACCTCTCCCTGTCTTCCACTCCTGGTCAACTGATTTTTGACAAGAATGCTGTTATGGGCTGAATTGTGTCCCCACTCAAATTCATATGTTGGGGTCCTAACCTCTAGTACTTCATCACCGTATTTAAAGGTAGGATCTTGGCTGGATGGTTAGCTCACTTGGGAGAATGTGGTGCTGGTAACACCAAGGTCATGGGTTTGGATCCCTGTACTAGCCAGCCACCTCCCCCAAAATAAATAAAATAAAAGTAGTGTCTTTATAGAGGTGAATAAGTTATGATGAAGTTTTTAGAGTGGGCCCTAATCCAATATGACTGGTGTCTTTATGAAAAAGGCGAATTTGGGGGCTGTCCAGTTAGCTCAAGTGGTGTTATAACACCAAGGTCAAGAGTTTGGATCTCCTTACTGGCTGGTTGCCAAAAAAGGGGGGAATCTGGACATAGAGACACACACAGGGAAGTCCGTAGGAAGAGACAGGGAGAAGACGGCCATCTACAAGCCAAGGAGCGAGGTTAGAGGCAGATTTCTTCTCTCACAGCCCTCAGAAGGAGTCAACCCTGCTGACACCTTGATCTCAGACTTCTGGCCTCTGGAAGTGTGAGAAAATAAATTTCTGTTATTTAAGCCATAACATAGTACCCAGTCTGTAGTGTCCTTATAAAAAGGGGAAAGTACCCAGTCTGTGGTACTTTGCTATGGTGACCCTAGCAAACCAATACAGGTGCAAAGACCATCCCATCGGGGAAAGAATAGTGGTGGGACAAAAGGACATCCCCATGCAAAGGAAAGAATCCAGACCCCTACCTCACACCATATACAAAAGTTGATTCACGGTGGCTCAAAGACCTTAATGTAAGAGCTAAAACTATAAAACTTCTTAGAGGAAATGTTAGGTGTTAAGTCTTTGTGACCTTGGATTTCTCAGTGGTTTCTTAGATGACACCAAAAGTATGAACAACAAAAGAAAAAAGTAGATAAATGGACTTCATTAAAATTAAAAACTTTTGTGCTTCAAAGGACACTGTCGAGAAAGTGAGAAGACAGCCCACAGGTGGGAGAAAATATTTATGGATCAGACAACTGCTAAGGCACTATTATCCAGAATATATTTTTAAAAACTTATAAGGGCTGGCCCGTGGCTCACTTGGGAGAGTGCGGTGCTGATAACACCAAGGCCACGGGTTCGGACCCCATATAGGGATGGCCGGTTAGCTCAATGGCTGAGCGTGGTGCTGACAACACCAAGTCTAAGGTTAAGATCCCCTTACCGGGCATCTTTTTCGTATAACTTCGTATAATGTATGCTATACGAAGTTATTACGGCTCAATGGCTGAGCGTGGTGCTGACAACACCAAGTCTAAGGTTAAGATCCCCTTACCGGGCATCTTTTTCGTATAACTTCGTATAATGTATGCTATACGAAGTTATTACGGCTCAATGGCTGAGCGTGGTGCTGACAACACCAAGTCAAAGGTTAAGATCCCCTTACCGGTCATCTTTTATTACAAAAATAAAATAAAATAAAATACATAATACTAAAATAAAATAAAACTCTTATAAATCAATAATAAAAAGACAACCAAATTTTTAAAAAATGGGCAAAAGATCTGAATAGATATTTCTCCCAAGAAGATATACAAATGGCCAACAAGCACACTGAAAGATGTTCAACATCATTAGCCATTAGGGAAACGCAAATCGAAATTGCAATGAGATACCACCTCACACCCACTGGGATGGCTAAAAAAAATGCACAGAACCCCAAACTGAACAGTAACAAATGTTGATGAGGATGTGGAGAAATCAAAATTCTCAGACAACACGGGTGGGCCTGTGAAATGGTGCAGCTGCTTTAGAAAACAGTCTGGCAGTTTTTCAGAATATTGAACATAAAATTACCATACAGCCCAGCAGTTCCACTTTTCAGTGTATGCTCAAGAGAAGTGAAAACATGTCCACACAAAAATTTGTACACAAATGTTCACAGCAGCACTACTTACAGCAGCTAAAAGGTGGAAGCAACCCAAATGTCCATCAACAGTAGAATGGGTAAACACCATGTGGTCCATCCACACAATGGAATATTATGCAGCCGTGAAAAGAAATGAAACCCTGACACATGCTACAACGTGGATGAGCCTCAAAACCATCATGCTGGGCCAGCCCGTGGCTCACTCGGTAGAGTGCGGTGCTGATAACACCAAGGCCACGGGTTCGGATCCCATATAGGGATGGCCGGTTCGCTCACTGGCTGAGCGTGGTGCTGACAACACCAAGCCAAGGGTTGAGATCCCCTTACCGGTCATCTTTTAAAACAAACAAACAAACAAAAAAATAACCCATCATGCTGAGCGAGAGAGGCCAGACACAAAAGGCCACACAGCGTGTGATTCCATTGATACCCCCCATCATGCTGAGCGAGAGAGGCCAGACACAAAAGGCCACACAGCGTGTGATTCCATTGATATGAAATGTTCAGAACAGGCACATCAATAGAGACAGACAGCAGATTAGTGGTTGTCAGGGGCTGGGGGAGGGAAGGTGATGGGCACGAGGCTTCTTTACAGGGTGATGAAAATGTTCTAAATGCATTGTGGCGATAGATGCACAACCTTTTGAATGTACTAAAAATCTTTGAATCGTACACTTTAAATGGGTGGATTATATGGTGAGTGAATTATATCTTAATAAAGCCGTTTTTATTTGTTTATTTAAAAAATATTTTTAAAGGATGACTGGTAAGGGGATCTTTTTTTTTTTTTTTAAAGATGACCGGTAAGGGGATCTTAACCCTTGACTTGGTGTTGTCAGCACCACACTCAGCCAGTGAGCGAACCGGCCATCCCTATATGGGATCCGAACCCGTGGCCTTGGTGTTATCAGCACCGCACTCTCCCGAGTGAGCCACGGGCTGGCCCTTAAAGCCGATTTTAAAGAAAGTATTTACAGTTCAACAATCGAAGGCCGTGCCTTTCAAACTTTGAAAGAGAACCCCGCGCAGAAATAGAACAAGCGAAGATATGAAGGAGAAAGGTTTGTCTTTCTGTAACTCTGTCCTTTCTCCTTTTGAACTTGGCACCTGGGGGAGAGGACAGAAATGATTTGAGAAGTTCCAGTGACTTCAGTTTTCAAAATCCTTAGACACAGAAGGGGAAAGTCTGCAGGTGCAGACAAAGCAACTTTGTCCCAAACATGAAGTGAGGAAGAGAGTTTCTTGCAGCTGGAGCAAGTGACGAGAGAGGGGACCACGTTCTGCTTCTCGGCCCCAACCCAGAGAGAAATGACGCCTCAAGCTTTGTCCCTGGGGTGGGTCCCAGTCCCTTAACACAGGCAGAAGTGGGGCACACTCTGAAAAATCGCCAAGTTACACTCCCCTTTCTCCTCCAGGGTCTCAAGGCCAGAAATGCAGTGGCATTTATAGAACATTTAAGAAAAATCATATTTTGTAGCACCTCCGGGACTGCAGCAAGAACAAGATTTAAACCCACTAGGATCAGACACACGGCAGGCTGCTTTGCCGGGGGTGGGGTGGGCAGTGGGCAGCCTGCAACTCGAAGGGCCCCAGGGTCCTCGGGGAAAACCCTCAGGGATTCCAAGCAAGAGGAATTTGTCAACCTGAAGCAAAAAAAAAAGCAAAAAAGCTATGATTTTCAAATTTTAAAGTTTTTTTTTTTAAAGATGACCGGTAAGGGGATCTCAACCCTTGGCTTGGTGTTGTCAGCACCACGCTCAGCCAGTGAGCGAACCGGCCATCCCTATATAGGATCCGAACCCGCGGCCTTGGTGTTACTAGCACCGCACTCTACCGAGTGAGCCACAGGCCGGCCCCAAATTTTAAAGTTTTAAAGGTGTGTAATATTCTATGATGGGGGAGTTCAGGGTTCTAGGGTGTGTGTGAGCAGCCAAAACTTTATGATCCTGGACCGGATGACTGTGAGTGTCCTGGAAGATCCAAATGGTCCAGTTCCCTGAAATTGAGATGTCTGAGGGGTGGGAGTCTGGAGCGGGAGACACAGCCCTGCCCTGGGGGTCTGAGGGAAGACATCTGGCCTTATCTGTGGGGTCTGAGGGGAAACCCACCCCATCTAGGGGTCTGAGTGGGGAGACACAACCCTCCCTTGGTGGTCTCAGGTGGGAAGGCAGCGTTCTGCCCCGGGGGGAAGGGTCTTCGCGGGGAGACACAGTGCAGCAGAAGCAGCCAGGACACCTCCTGTGGGAGACACCAAGGCTGCCCCCAGGGTCCCCCCACCTCCATCCTCCCCTCTCTCCCCACCCACCCCGAAGGAGGGGCCCTGAAGCCCGCTGTCCTCAGTCTCAGGGTGAACAGGATCCCCATAAGGGAGCGTGTGAATGAGAACTTGGGTGGTCGTTGAGTGTGTTGGACACATGCTGGCGGTGCGAGGGGACAACAGTCTCCACGCAACCCCCATGTGAGTGGCTGTGACGGTCCCTAGGGTGCCTGTTTCTTCCCCCTGGGGAAAACTACCTCCCCTCTCAGGCCTCTATTTCCCCATCTGCAAAAGGGTTTAGATCTTCTTCCTACCTCCTGGGATTCAGTGATGAGATGCTATTTCTAAAGCAGACCCCAGCATAAGGCACATGTGAGCCATTTTGGCCTATCATTATGAAGAATCAAATGCTCTGAGCTTTTACTGAGTCCGGTCTTATGGGCAGCCAGCATGGGCTGGCATATTCTGGGCACTTTATGTATATGAAGTCATGGGCTCAGGGCTGCCCGTTATCATGCGGTATGCTCAGCTCAGTTTGAATTCCAGATAGACAAGGGGTAGTTTTTCAACTTACAAATATATCCCAAATATCGCGTGGCATATACTTATACTTAAAAAATACATCACTTGGGCCGGCCTGTGGCTCACTCGGGAGAGTGTGGTGCTGATAACACCAAGGCCAACGGGTTCGGATCCCATATAGGGATGGCCAGTTTGCTCCCTTGGGTGAGCGTGGTGCTGACAACACCAAGTCAAGGGTTAAGGTCCCCTTACCGGTCATCTGGTTTGCTCCCTTGGGCGAGCGTGGTGCTGACAACACCAAGTCAAGGGTTAAGGTCCCCTTACCGGTCATCTTTTAAAACAAACAAACAAACAAAAACACATCACTTATCTACATGGGCTGCTCATGTAGAATGTAGGTCTGTGACTGTCCTTGTCTCATAGATAAGCACACTGAGGCTCAGAGGGGTGATGCGACTTGCCCAGGGTCCCCAAGATGCGTGTCCAGCCCACAGTCTTACCCGGTCACCCTGGCACTGGCGGAAGCTGGCGTTGATGCGGTCCAGGTCGCGGCGGGCGCTGAGTAGCATCTGCATGATGGAGTCCTTGGCGCGGGTGGTGAGGTTGAGCTCCTTGGACAGGTTGACCTGGGAGGCTGAGAGAGCCACGACCTGGCTGTACAGGCCCTCGGCCCGGCGCTCGGTGGCCTGCAGGTTGGACTCGGTGCTCATGTGCACGTTGCCATAGACCATGAAGAGGACGAGGCCCAGGATGATGAGGAATTGGATGAGCGAGACAAAGAGGAAAAAGTAGCGCAGGTAATACCAGCAGCCACGAGAGCCGCCCCCTGCCCGGGCATAGGACCCCCTGTGCTCCATGGCCAGACCCATCTGCTCCCAGGGCCCGCGGCCGGTGCGCCGTCCCTGCTCAGCTGCCTGGCCTGCTCTGCACCCGTGCAGGGGGGGTGTTTATATTACCCTTCTTAATACTTCCTCTGCCTGGCTCCTTCCTGGCCGGGAGGAAACGGGGGCTGCGGGTTATCACAACACTCCCACCCTGGCTGTGAGGGGATGGGGGGGGCAGGGGGGAGCCAGGGCACAGCTGGACCTCCTGATTAACGCTGGGTGGCACCAGCTGGGTGACTGGACTTCCTCAGCCTCTCGGAGCCTCAGTTTCTCCCCCTGCCTCTGCTCTGTGCCTGGTGCTGTTCTTAGCACTTGTTGGTATCATCTCATGTCATCGTCCCGGGCTTGCTGCTGTCCTCATTGTGCAGAGGAGGAAACTGAGGCATGGGGAAGAGAAGGGCAGGCCCCCTGGCTCACACCATTAGTTCACAGAGCTGGAATTATCTCCTGGCAGGGTGGTTGCAGATGTGTGCCCACCTCACTGGGGCAGAGCCAATTAAATGAGATAAAATGTGCAAACCAGTCAGCCCAGGGCCAGACGCGTGCAGTAGATGCTCAGTAATTGCACGTGGGGCCTTACAGAGTGCAGATCCGTGGATAGCAGTGGCACTAGCTCCCCGAGCTCTGTCATCCTACCCCATGCCCTACTCATTTGTAAGCTCGGATGAGGGATCTTGCCTGTCTGTGCCTCAGTTTCCTCCTCTGTGACATGGGGTGTGCTTGGTGCCCAGGTTACCCCGTGGCTGTGGGGCCGTGAGGAAGGATTTGTTGTTGTGATGATTACTATCATTTTCTGCTTGCAGTATTATTCGAGGTCTCCATTGAGACGGTAAACGGGAAGTGTAGCTAGGACGGGGTTGAGCTTTCTGCCTTCTGATGCTCAAAATCCCACAGGAATCTTCTGGGGTTATAGTGGGTCACCCCAGAATCAGGAATTCAGGGTAACCCTCCCCAGAGTCCCTTCTTTGGTTGCTGGTGATGCCAGGATCCCCCAACAGATGTCAACCCCATGCCCGGTCATGAGCAGCTCCCAGTCTTGGAAGACAAAGCAGGACACAGACACCCTAAGCCCTGTGGGGTCAGAGCTGGCTGGAGGGAGCCACAGAGGCAGGAAGTTGGAAAGGTGACTGGCCCTCAGACAGGTGACAGTCCTAGAATTGCTGTCCACCTCCTGTGGGGGGGCACAGCAGGGCAAAAGCTGGGGCATGAGGACCTGTCCTCTCATTATCTAGGGTAATGGAGTAGGGGGTGTCCTCGACAGCAGGGAGGGGTCCTCCAGGGTGGTGCTCAGTGAGGTGGGTATTGGGCTGGGAAGGAGGAAGTTCCCAGGGGTGGACAGGAAATCTCTGTCTGACCCCTGGCCTTTGCAGCTACCCAGTGATTCCTGGTTCCAGACACTTCCCAGGGGTGGGGGGAGGGGGGAAGGAGGGTT